TGCTAAAGAAGTGATGAATGGAGTACAGAATGAAAGTCAATGATAATAGAGCTCCCTCCTATTTCCTTCCTCTTTGTCAGGTATTATCTGAACCATGGAGACTCTCCACTAGTCAGACTCCCATTCAGCAGATAGAGCTATTTGATCTCCAGAATAATCCTGACTATGTTTCTTGTGGTGGTGGATTTGGACCGGTAAGCAGTGCCAAGATTGTCTTGAGGGAAAATGGAACAGGGTTGGTTTAAAGTTGGAGGGGATGCACATTTATGAAACCCAGGTATCCTGGATTCACTAGGAATGCTGTTTTGCTATGGAAAATAGTAGGGCTTTGGAAGCAAAGGTCCTGCCTCATGTTGCTTTTTCTTCTGTGCCAATGGAAAGGTTGATGATAATGGATATGGAGTATCTTACATCATTGTCGGTGAAGATCTCATCAATTTCCACGTGTCATGCAAATTCTCCGGCCAAGGGACAGTGAGTCTGGATTAATAGTTTTCCTAGCAGGGGAGGTGATGATGTATTGGGAATAGGATACTTTGATGATTTGGGTATGGCATCAATGGTTATATACAGTAGATAATGGTTATGGTTTCATACCCCCTCTGCCAGTTAGAAATTCCAGTTTAGTTTTAGACAAAAGATAGTTTAAAAAACTCTACTGTACATATGCAATCATCTGTCTCAACTATAAATGTTTGAGATATGCAATGGCAAATGCCAGATTTATCATGGCCATTATAGGTGCTGAGCTTGCTTGTTGCTGCCTAATCACTTACAATTCCCTTGCTGATTTCATGACCTGTTTCTTCCCCAGAACCAATTACTTCATGAGTTGTTTTCCTATTGTTACCTGAGTCTTCTAAAAGGCTAAAGCAAGGGTGTCAAATTCACATTGTCATGGCACATTACGTGATGTATCAGGACTTTTCCCCCCCCCCTTCCCAAAAGGGGGGGGGGGGCAGTGTGTGACGCATCCGGCCTGCGGACCAGGAGTTTGACAGCCTTGGGCTAAAGTGATGCATGTTAAATGTCAGGTGCTCTCAGGCCCCAAGAACAACTCATAATTGCTTCTGAACAGTTTCCTTTATTGTTCCCCACCTACAGAAAGAAATTTTGCCAAACTAAAGCAACTGCTTGCATCATTAAAGATATACTTTGAGAATTGCTAGAGAAGAGCCCTCTTAATTCTCTTTTTCTGGTCAAACTATCTAAACTTTACTGCTTCTTGGCCCTCTGGAATGCAGTCCAAAGTACATTCCCCCACAGGTGTTGAAGTATTCTTTTCTTATGACAGCAAGAAGTTGGAAATAAATGGCTTGGTTCTTTCAATGCACTGTTACTTTTTGATGAACCATGATTTGTTGAATAAACCAAAGTGGGATGAGTTAATATGTTAGGCAAAGCACAAGCAAGCAACTCTACCAAAACAAAACATTGTTTTGGTAGATATTAGGAACCCATACAATTAGGATGTATAGATAGGGATTAGCTGTCTGTTCCTAGAATTCCCAGTCAGTTTGCCTGGGGAACCCCCTCCCTCCCCAGCCACAAAATATAAAGGTGTTTGTCTGCCTTCTAATGCTCATCCCCTATTAAGATAATACAATTTGAATCTTGCTTGGATGTTTTATCTATGTAAGTCTATGCTTTGAAATTTCACTGATATGCGTATTCTATTTTCTTAGCTAAATTTCTTTATCTTTCTTTCTCTTTCCTACAGGATGCACACCGTTTTGGGTTTAATATCCGGAAAGCCATGAATGACATCTTGAACCTTTTCCAAGCGAACCACATGGTCCATGCCACAGCTGACAAGTGACTGAATAAATGCCAGCAATATTGTACAGTTAGTTATCAATGACACATGTTGAGTGTGTTTTTTGTTCACTAATCAGCAGGGATTTTTGGAAAGTGGGGGGAGGGGATGCCCAGGGGCCAGTCCTGAAGATGTCTGCAAGCACACTGGAGCTCACCTTTGGATTTGGAGACCTGGATTCTACTGTTTATCAAATACCACAGATCTCTAGGCAAATAAGAGTTCTTATTCACCCTGCCCATATTTCTGTATTTCCTAAAGATCTGATGGGGAAGGTTGCTAACCAAGGCTTGTTGCTGGATTAGTACAGAAAAATTGGAAGCTTAGCTGATTGAGGTTTCTACTCCAAGCTCCCACATGGATGTTCTGAAGCTGTGCCTCCTCAGCCATTTGCAATCAGCTGCTAAGAATCTCTTCTCCCTGTGCTCCAGCCACTTCAGACCAGTGCTGGTTGCCTGCCTATTCTGTGCTTCATATATGAAGGACTCAGTCCCTGTGGCTGTGATTATACTATTCCTATAAAGTGCTTCAAATAGGATGATGGATGATATTTTTGAGAACTGAGTTCCTCATTCTTACCCTTTAATGCCTGAGGTAATAGGAAATCACTATAAATTCAATGTAGGGGAAAGGAATCTTAATGTAAGTCAGATCAGTTGGTCTATCTCTTAGCATTATAAATGTTAATAAAACTCCAGAGTGGGAGTTCTTGCCAAAAAATTCTGGTTTTGGTCAACTGAAGGGTTGGAAAGTGATAAGGAGCATGTTTAAAAACCAAGAGGTTTTGAAGAGAGGCCTCAATTGCAGAAGTGCTTAATACTGCCTCTTTTAAATGTCCTTTTATCAGACAAGCCAGACTTCTCCCCTCCAGAGACTTTAGCAAGTAGTTTTGTCTACCATCCTTTTGCATAATTTCTGCAACTGTGATTTGAAGACCGTTTTTTAAAATATAAGGGCTTAACTATGGAATATACAAGAAAGAATATTAGGGAAACTGTGTGAAAAATGGGGCACGGCCAGACTGCAGTTAGAAAAGTAGATGGTATTATGACCACATATTCAGATTTACTGTTTTCATGCAACTTCCGAAAAGCTTTTGCACTTCATTATCTTCTGAGAGTTCATAGCAAGATGGTGAAGTTTTTCAGCTCCTTAATTGTGTTGAATGCAAACTTATTAGATTGGGATAGTACTTGGCATTTGGATGGCATGCTCCAGGGTATACTTGTATAAGGTGGCTAGTCTTACAGCAGTGCTTCTGTTTGTGCACGAGCCTCCAAGGCTGTTCCAGATCCTGCTTCCATTGATCAGAGCAAATATTGGATGTTGGAAAAGGGAAGGAAAATGAAGGCCTACAGAACTCATTAACCCATTGGGGCATCAAGCCAAGCAAATAATGTGTGTAATACTTGTAATCATGATGCTGTAGGTCACCAAGCAAACAAGGTTAGCGGTTTGACCTAAGAGAGCAAAGTACCACAGGCAAAAGCAGCCTGCATTTTCCCAGGGCTGCCTCCGCAGGACTCTGTTGCCCCCTGATGGCTTGCATGCATTGGGTTACAAGGCATGGTCAAGCCTGTGACTGTAGCAAGTGATGGGAACAGCAAAGTCATAGAAAAAATACTAAAGGATAGATTTGGATCTAATGGATCAGATCACTTTATTGAGTGGTAATGCTTGAGGCTGAGAGCTATTGGCTCCTGCAGATATGACAGTCCTTACAAGGGAAACATCAGCTCTCCTCACACCCCCGATCACCCGAGTTTAGTAAGTAATGTGTAAAAAAAGATAGCAACCAATGAGAATCTAAAGCAAGTGATTACGCATATGTGTAAAGCCCAGTCCTGGAAATTCAAAGATTATACTGTGAATTACATAGAGACTATGTAGCGCAGGAAGCTCTTTAGAATATAATAGCAATAGCAGATTTATATACCACTACACAGTGCTTTAGAGAGACCTAGCCCTCTCTAAACGGTTTACAGAGTTAACATATTGCCCCCAACAATCTGGGCTCATTTTACCAACCTCAGAAGGATGGAAGGCTGAGTCAACCTGGAGCCAGAGAGAATCGAACTGCCGAACTTCTGGCAATCAGGAGTCAGCAGGAAATTTTCCTTCATAATACCACCAAAGAGACTTAAGATACTATGTCCACGGAATAAATAACAATGCAAAAATGGATTTCCATATATGCAAAAGATGTATAAATAAAATAGAACAAAAGTGACATTCTAAACTTTAAGCAAGCTTTGCAAGAAAAGTGAAGAGAAAACTGTAGACACACATACACTAATTTGCCTGTTAATGAAAAGAAAGACTGTGCTTCTGAGCATATGTATCCCAACACCTGAAGTTTGAACAGGCAATATGTTACATCAGCTATAATTCACTATTTTTGTGAATGCCTTTAGATTTATTCAGCTGGACATGGAAAGGTTTTTTCCATTCCCCAAAGTTAGTTCACTGTCCTACACCAACCTCAGTGCTATTGTCCTTTCTATAAAATACAAAAAAATATTTATAGGAAAATAGATGGAAATGAGAAAAAGAGCAACATGGAAGTAGATAGGAAGACCGCTCAGTCAGAAGCTAGTGCAAAACTATAGCTGAGCAATTTACAGCATTATTCACCTCTGAGTCACATTTGGATTTGGAAAAATATATGGAGGCTGCACTTGTCAAAATCAACAGGGCCAGGACAAAACAAAATTTAATGAACACTTATCATTACAATTAATATTGTTGATTGTTCCCTGTCAATGTAATGACTTTCATTTTCAGTCACATTAAATTTACCATTCAGCACTAATAGAAGTGCTCAGGAAAGTACATCCAGGATTTTCAGAGGCTGCATTTAAACTCTTGGACTATGGTCTCTGACTATGGAATTCCCTTCATTAGCCAAGATGAAAGGAAGAAAAGCTTAGTGACAAAGCTATTGTGCTTTGCCCACTGAAGATCACAGGTTCATCTTTCAAGCTCTCAAAATATTTTTAGTAGTGTTTAGAAAAACATCTGTAAGAAATTTTGATGAACTGATGTCCGATTAGAATGGGAATAGGATTCAGGGTAAGGCAGCTTTGCAGATGGCCAAGGTGGACCTGTCTCCAGACTTCCCAGTACAAGGCCATCTCGATCTGGCCCGCATCAACTTAGGATCAGAAAAATGCTCCAGAAAGACTGCACTCTGGAAACATTTTATTAGGGGCAGGAGGGTCTGGGGTTAGTCTACTCTGTGCCTCACTGTGTCATCGTCTTCTGCAAACGCTGGCAGCTGGGGCATATGCCTTCTGATTGGGCCCGCTGCTTCAGCTCCTCCAAAATGGGTGCCACTGCATGTTCAAACATCTTTCGCAGGACCTCTGTATTCACAATGCTGTAGCTGTGGGTGGGAACCAAGAGGTGAAAAAGAAAAGAAGGGATGCCATTTACACAGTCAGTCAATGTAGAAAGTATGATAGGTTTAAGTCTTGAAAGAGAGAGAAACAGCCCAGGTACAGAGTCAAGGAAACTCCCTTCATGCAATGTCAAAAGAGTGCAATTTGCTGCACTGAAAATAACATAAATATAAGATATCTCTGGAAGTGAGCTTATTTAACATAAATATGGCAAAGAAGCACTAGTCCAGCTTTAGGGCAAATTCCCCTTTTTTCAGAACTGGTGAAGCGGGGTTTAAAATATCATTAGAAGAAAAGAGAGGAGGTAGGTAATACATGTATGAAACATCTATGCTGGAAAGAGAGTTTAAAAAAGCATCCATTTTAAAGCCCAACTCTTCTTGATTCTTCTAAATATGCATGCCAATTACATGAGCTTTAGCAACTTGAACTTTTTTTAAATAAATGAAAACAGATGTTCTCAGGAATCTAAAGCCAATGCCAGAGACTGGATTTTGTAGAAAACTGCATTTTCAGCAGCAGCCAATTAACTGTTTATGTGAGTAGTCAATTCACTCGCTTCTGTAATACTGAACTTTCTTTTCTGTGAACTGGAAAACTGCAATTACCTGCTGGTCTATAAAAGGAAATCTATAATATCAAGTCGGTATTTCTAGCTGACATATAGTTCATAGACTAAGCAAGAATTCTGGATAGTTCTTGATAGAAAAATCTTAAAGTTTGTAGCTGTCCTGATACATCATGTCCATCCAATAAGAGCATTTCTTAAGCTTGACAACTTTAAGCTGGGTGGATTTCAACTCATGCTTAGCTTGAGAATCAGGAATTGGCTCAGGATTCTGAAATCCATACTGCTTAAAGTTGCCAAGATTTGGCTTTCCCCCCAAACACAGGATGGGAGATTTTGTGCCATTGGACTGTTTGTGATTGGTTTTGATTAGATCAAGCTACTTTGGGAATGTTTATTCTGTTTTAATGTTGAAGATTTATTACACATTGTTTTCTATCGACGTATACTGCCTGGATCCATGTGCCAACTGGGAAGCTGTTAAATTGATATAATCAGTCAATCATGCTAAGCCATAATATGCTATGTTTGGTTTTATCTTAGCTTTTGTGGTCCTTGGAAATTACAAACCATAGGTTATGCCAAGTCCCACATGCTAAAAACAATGAAGAATGTATAATATATACATTATACATATACACATACATATACATTATCAAAAAAAGCCAAATAACGTTGGAATTGGAACCCGAATTCCAGAGGTAAAATATACTTCTACTTTTTAATAATTTCTTCTGTCATCAACAATCTCTTTGACACATCTTTGGATAAGAAAGTCATCGGAAGACTTCTTTCAGTCCACCAGCAAGTTGGGAATTCAACCAGCAATCCAGGCCCGACTATGATTTATGGCTTAATGTGTGAATGTAGCCAATATGGGGAGTCCTCACTTAACAATGGCATCACTCACATTTAGAGTTGTTTGCTCTAAATTTTTCAAGTCTTTTGCTGATTTCTGGCGTTTATATCTGGTTACTAGCAAAAAAAATCCAATTGAATAAAATGGATTCATTTAATGACTATGGTTTCACTTAATTACCATAGCATTTCCTTAAGGACCTCTGCAAAAAAGATAACATTGGGTGCAGTTGCACAATAATCAATTTAATAGCCACCATGACTTGCAACCATAATACCAGATTAAATTATGGTCATAAATTGAGCGCTACCTGTAATGCTTTGTTTAATAAATTGTGATTAAACAAAACATTACTTAGAGGCTTTATGACACTGACCTGTGTGAAATCAGGGAAATCAAACCCAATTTTGCCCTAATCTCCATATCCTTCCTTAGTCTAGCCTTCTGATTCTCATTAACAAGTTGGACTGTATTCTTCAATTCTGACTCAGAGGTTTAACTAGGTACCTGGAACATCTAGCACAATTAGGAGGCCGGTCGGATGCTTCCATATTCTTCAGTGTTGCAAGATGTCGGGATATGTCTTCCAGGAGTCCATCCAGGTCTGACCGAAGCTGAGTGAGAGACACTGAAGTCCGTTTTGCCCTAGCAGAAAAGAAGTAGCTGTAAGTAAAAGAGCAAATTTCCAAATTCATAGCCCTGTAAAAATTCAGAGAAATGTAACTTTGCCTCCCACATAGACTGATAGACTTTCTTATCTCTGGATCAGGTTTTAAGATTGGAGCAATCCCATTTTACACAGTCCTCTCACATCATAGGTTGGCAGAAGAATGGTGACTTCCTGGTTTGGGGGTATTTGTGTTCCAGGAGATGATACAGACTCTCTGTCCCCCTGCATTTTATTCTCTCTTACCCCATCATTACAATGGGGCAGGGGAGGGGCTCGATATGGAATTTTATCTAAAATTGTAGAGCTTTATTAAAAATACACTAAAGGACTCACCCTCTTTTATTCTGAATCTGAATTTTTGCACCCCCTGGTATTTTCTAATCAAAAAATTTGGTAGAATTAAGCATATATTAATGTGCAAGAAAACCTGCTGAAGAAAAAGGCCGAGAGACCATAGGCACATTCATGAAGCTTGCTCTTAGAAGATTCATAAACACTAGAAAACTTCACTTTTTAAAAAGGAACATTATAGTGATCTGGACATATTCCAGGACAACAAAGCCATCATTTGTAATATACTAATCTTCCCTACTGGTTTACAGAGCTACAAATAATTATAACTCTTAATACAAAGTGATAATCATGGAAGTTGTGATCAACTTTTCTAAAACCAAAACACGAAGAGGAAAAAGTTCTACTATCAGAATGTAGGGAGCAAACCCCATCATTAGGAACATTAGCAAAAGTTATCTAACTGAACCTCTCATTGTGTTTTACTCTAGGATACAATAAATAATGGGTTGTGTTTACTTCATCTCTAAAATCTGGCCTTTTCTTTGCTGGGAAGAAGAAGGCTCCTTGGAGGAGAGAAAGGGAAGCCTCAGGAGAGGCACATACGTGGTAGAGACTTCATCCAGTTCCTCCCGCAGCATTCTGAGCTCCTGGCCTTGTTCCACCTGTGTCCTTTCCTGCTGGGGAAGAACCCCTTCCAAGCGCACCCCCAGCTGGGCCAGCAGCCGCAATGCCTCCTTCTGGGCCAGCTCCAGCATACATTTCCTAGAGTCAGGAGTGATGGAAAGAGACCAGGTGGATGGGTTGGTGCCTCTAGCAAAACCAAGGCTCTTCCACTCCCACTTTACAGTGCCCCTCTCCCAGCCGAGCAAGGCAAGCCAAGGTGGAAGCTATGCCCATCTTATCCCCCAAGACCTGCTCTCAACTGCCCACTTCCCATCATAGGCTATTGATGGATGCCAACCGAACAGCATCACTCTCTTCATAGATGGCTGATATGGAGGGTATCGTTACTATTCTGCCTATTAAGTCCAAAAGTTGTTTGGAGACCCCACATGCCACCCCTGTTCCAGCAACTGCTATGGGGTCTTACCAACGAAAGTCTTCTACTTGAACTTGTTGCTGCAAATTACGCAGTTTCTCCTAAATAGAGTGGAGGAAGTGTCAGGGAAACAATAACATTAATTTGGTATTGAATATAATTATTACAACACTCATAATTCCCTATCAGTCTAGCTGGGTTAGCTAGAAACCCTACTTGTTGTAATCCAACAGATTTGGAGGAAAATACAATGCATCCATAGAAGAAAGCAGGTTTGGTGTAGTTTTCTTTGGGAGTGATCCCATCTTTTTCAATTTAATAAGATGGTAAATAAAGGGACAAACAGGTGAAGCAGTTGCGGCATTTAAAAAAGAACGATCCTATGCCAGAAATTTAGCAAGAAGACAACACTGAGTTTGCAATATTGTTTTATCACCATTGCACCTTTCATCTAAGAATCTACAGAGAGCAGCAACTTGACTAATTCTGACAGATATGGAGAGTCAAACCTGTAGCCCATCAGGAATTCTTAAAACAATAAATAATGATTTATTAAAATTCTATCCCAGCTTTTATTCAGAAGCTCCAACTAGCAAATTTAGCTCTAATTCTGGTTTCTGGCAACAACACCCCTGTGAACTAGCCTGAGCTGTAGAGAGGGAGAGACTGGCAAAATGAACTTCTACAGGTAAGAAGATTAGATAAGATTAGAGCATCTTTCCCTTCGATGCCAGTCCAAAGCTTAACAGTGCTGGTGAGACAGAATTTAAAAAGAAAATTCCAGAAAAGGTAACAACGAAACACCTTCATATTGTTCCAAAAACATTATGCCAAAAGGCATCAAGCATGATTGATTGAGCTTATTTTTCTCATGTACAGCTCCAAATTTTCCTTAAAAGATTATCTTGTGCTGTAGGCCAGCCTGACAAAGAATAAATTCTTATAGTTGCCAGTGGAACTTAATTGTAATCTTTCTTTAGTCCCTATGCGACAATGGCTGCCTTTTGCTAAATGGTCCATATTTTTTAATATCTGAAAAGAATCCCTTGATGAAGATAAAAAGAGGAAAAGATTTAAAAGGGACAGATAGAGAGGTGATACGGTAAGTGCCAAAGAGCAGGTCAGATGACCAACCCAGCCCAGTAGTCTGATCTTTGAAAATTTCCACAGAAATTGCTTTTGTTTCTATTTTGCTACCAAAAGATCTAGAAACTTGTACTGTAGCTTCTGTTCATGCTAGAGAAAACCAGTCTTGGTTCCTTATGTGTGGTCACCCATGATAATAGATTCTGCTTATAATCTTACTTTCTGACAACTGTTCTCCATCAATCTACTAGCTCATAGCAGCTTTGTTACCTTTCCAAATGCTGTGAATAACTTGCACTGTTGATACCACCCCATATTCCTGCAAGTCTCAAATCTTCTCCCTCACCTCCAAGAGGGCTGAATTTTCTTCCAGCACGCTGGTCTTAATTTCAGCATCCTCCACAGATTTTGTCACCTTTCGACAGCTTTCCTGTAAGAAATTTTAGGGAACAAGAAGAAACATAGTGGAAGCTGGGAGAAAGCTGAAAAATCTCTCATTTCTTTTTTTTTTTTTTTTTAAAACTTGATATTCTAAGGCTGAGTTTAACTGCCTTACATTGGAAATGTGGTTTCTGCTGCCTAATTCCTAGGGCTGAGAGAGAATGATGCCCAAGGTCACTCAGCTTGCTTTATGCATTGGTCAGGTTTAGAATTCATTCTCCTGGTTTCTAGCCTGATGGCTTAACCCAGGGATGTCAAACTTGATTTCATTGAAGGCCACATCAGGGTTCTGTTTGACCTCCGGGGGACATGGGGGGTATGGCAAGGGGCATGGCCAGCTCAACGTCACTCGTGTCAGGTCAGGGGCGCCTGTGGTGGCCCGAGCACTCTGCCAGCAAAAATGGGCTCCGTAGCTCTGTTTCTGGCCTCCTGCAACCAGCGAAAACGAAGCTTGCGAGGGTCACGCGCAGTCCTCCCGAGCACTGTTTTCGCTGGCAGATGCACCACAGGCTGGACCTTCACTGTTTCCAGGGTGGCCCTGCAGGCCCGATCTAAGCACCCCATGGGTCAGATCCAGCCTGCAGGCCTTGAGTTTGACCACTACCTTAACCACTACACCAATTGGCTTTCACCCTTGATCTACAAGCCTCTTCTGTTACTTCTCTAGTGGGTTCAAAACAATCAACAAAGTTATTCTTATCCTTCCTTCTTTGTAAGGAAGATTCAGCCAAATGAAATGAGCTGACTCGAGTGTCCTTCCATACCTGTGGGGGCTGCTTTGGCACAGAAGTACCTCAGTTGCAGGCTGCTGCCTTGTCTTTGGTGTGGATCAGATGGAACAAATGAAAACTCTCTTCCAATCTTCTTAGAAAAGAGCTCTACCCCACTCGTCTAGCATCTTCATAGCATTGTCTAGGGCCACTAAGTTACATAGAGCCATGCTCATTTTTGTTTTTTGGGCACCAAGATGATTGGGCAATTCTAGAAAATGCTCTGCCTCATTTCTGACAGTTATATGTGCTGTCACACTATTTGAGCAGAGACATGTATATAAAATCCCAAACCAACAAGCCTAAGTGATGGCAATATCACTAAAAACTAAAATGGGAATTGTACATAATCTGACTAAAGTGAAAAGTTAATCTTGTGGATAACATGCATAAAGGTAAAGGTTCCCCTCACACATACCTGCTAGTCGTTCCCGACTCTAGGGGGCAGTGCTCATCTCCGTTTCAAAGCTGAAGAGCCAGCGCTGTCCGAAGACGTCTCTGTGATCATGTGGCTGGCATGACTAAATGCCAAAGGCGCACAGAACACCATTATCTTCCCAACAAAGGTGGTCCCTATTTTCCTATTTGCATTTTTTACGTACTTTCGAACTGCTAGGTTGGCAGAAGCTGGGACAAGTAACAGGAGCTCACCCCATTACACGGCACTAGGGATTCGAACTGCTGAACAGCTGACCTTTCGATCAACAAGCTCAGCATCTTAGCCACTAAGCCACCGTGTTCATAGTCTATTTTAAATCTTTTCCCTCATTTCAACCCTACCTTTCCCCACCAACACTCTTTTTTCTGCTTTTTTTGTATAATTATGTCTGAGTACTGGAGAACTCAAATGCTTGCACAATATGTTATGTCATTTTAGGTTCTAGGCAAAATACTGCCTAATTATGAATTCATTTTCTTAAGGATTAACATATCTACCCTTGCTTTTCAATTTTTAACTAGATTTTTGGGACCAATATTATTTTTAAAAAATTAAACAATAGCAATAAAGCCAAGGCATGAAGGCAAAATGAAGACAAAGTCCAATCTGATTTTACAAGAAGATGGACAGAATTTAGCACTTTCTCCCTCAAATTGGCCCAGTCAGTCAGAATGAAGCATTCTTGCATTGGCAGCTTTAAAAAAAAATCATTCTACATTCCTGACTATTAAAGCAGAAACAGACATGGTCAATGTGGAAATGTAACTGTTCAGCTATTCAATCTATACAACAAAACAAAACAAAACAAAACAAAAAAAACAAAACAGACCTGCAGATTCTGAAGATGGTGGTTGACCTTAGATGTCCTCTCCTTGAGACTGGTAATGGAGTCCTTGGCTCGCAAAAGGCCACTATTGCTCACTTCCTGTAGGGAAAGAATATAAGAAGGGACCAGATCAAGCAAATCATCAACCACTTACTCCTGACTTCTTCACACTTTCCAATAATTTATTTCAGTCTCAGTGTCAACTGGAAGGTCTTCTTAGGGATTTACAAAATTCATTACTGAAAGTGACAGAAGAAATTAGTGACATATTTGAGGGACACAGGAGCCGTAAAGTAGAAACTTTCTTGTTGCAATGTACTTTTTGCAGCTGAGGGTCAAGGAAAGTAAAGAGAGAAATATTTGGAACAATTTAAATGAAACAAAATATTAAAAAGTTATATTTATGTAGTTACTTATCAAGCACATCTAAATTATATTAAAGTAACCAAAATATCTTTACAATCCCCCAAGGCATGTGACAACTTTTGTGCACCCCTAATGTTTGGAAATTGAAAGTGGAAAAATTTGACACACCCTAAAAGGTCATGTCCAGAAAGCAAATGAGGAATGAAGAATCACACAAAGAGTGGCATTAATTTTTTTTTTCTTGTCTATTATTAGAACAATACTAACTCAGAGCAAGTTAATTATCTAGGAAAGTAGCAACAAGTATGTAGGATTGTGACTCATTGCTTCACCTGCTGGCTGGAAGTATCATCTTCATCTTCTGACCAAGCTGGCTTGATGGGAAATAGAGGATCCCGTCTTTCGCCTCCTGCTCCCCCTGGTAAGCCTCCATCATCTGTTGATTCATTCTCCGTGGTGGAATCATCACGTTCCCCATCAGTTAGATTCAGAAGAGAAACATTAGTGCAAGCAGAAGAACGCTTCAAATTCAGATTGGGACTTTCACTGGTAAAATGGGGCTCGACTCTGGGTGGGAAAAAGGGTACACGTTATCCTCAGTTTCAGCTGTTGACTATTTTCTTTCCTACATAATATATTGCAGAATTACTTTAATATAACAACGAGCCTATGCCTCAATGGCTAATATATTATTTGATAATATTCTTTTGAAAACTAAGAGCAATCCTTGGCTGGTATTAGTTTTATTATCTTCTACTAAGCTTTCTTAACTCCTTTCATGTGCAAATAAATATAGATATATGAAGATATCAAATCAATATGAAATCATAGCTCAGCTCTCCCAAATATGATGTTTTTATGTGTGTGTTGGTCTTCAAAATCCTCAATTTAAGAGATTACTGTATTGAAATCCTGGAATATTGCTCTGAAAATTAAATTGCAACACATTGATAGGATATCTAGTCTTATTTATTCCATCACTTATATCCCAAGTCAACACTCTTTATTTATCCAATAAAATCAAACAGAACAGGGGGAGGGAGGGCAGATTGTTCCAAAAGATAGGGTAATTCTCAAAAAGGCTCTCATGCCCACCATTTCTTAAAGTGGGGTAGAATCCAAAGAAACTCTTCCCAAATAGGATGCACTGTACCTATTTGAAGAAGATGGTTCATAAAGCAGCACAAAGGCCTTATAGATCAAAAGCAGCATTTTATACAAAAACATGTTAACCAATGCAGAACCACAGGACAATGCTATCCTATTGAAATGGATTGAACTCCCAGCCAATGAGCACCAACTAGTTTTAGGACATCTTAAAAGGCAGCCCAACTAAGAACATATTGGAATAATCAATAAGGATGACTATTGCCAAGATCTCCCATCCCACAAGAAATGCAAAAGAAACACTAGACAACATTGTGCAAAGTCTTCTCTGGTAAAAAAAAATAAAAATTGGCAGGATCTCCATTTTCACACTAGCTCCATCAAGGTGGAGGACCATCCATGTGGTCCTCTCTAAATCCAATACAGGAGCTCCATTGATTCTGAAGAAGCAGTAACACCCTCTTGCTTTGATTCAATTTCACCTTGTTTCATTCCATTCCATTCAATCCCTCACCTTTCGCACACTGGGAGAAAACGCATCTCCTGCTTAGTTCAAAGCTAGATATCAGGAAGATATTGTTGAACTCCAAACCAAGAAATGACTTTTCCCAGTGGTTACATTTAAATAGGATAGGGGAGAGAATAAAGTCCTGAGGCACTGTGTATAAAAATGTCCAAGGGTTTTATTTCTTCTCTTGGCATTACCAACTAGAATCACTCACTTATGAAACAGTGATCACTGCAATTAATGCCACGCATCACCCATTCACACACAAACAAACCTATTTCACAGATAGTTTGGAAAAAATCTAAATGGTTTTTCACGATGCCTGGCCAGAGCTTTCAGCAAGAACCACTGTTGTAGTACCTTATTTAGATCAGATGAGATTAATTATCCACTTAAACCCAGTGTTGGACTACAAACATTCATTATTCTTGGCCAGCTTTATGCAGACTATAAGTTCTGGGAGTTGTAGTCCAACAAAGCTGGGATCTCATGGCAGCAGCTCTCCATGAACTTAAGGAGAAAAAGGGAGGGTTGCACAATCTCTTCCAAGAGGCCTTTCCAGATATCTGGAACTGAATCCAAAACCATCTATATGCAAAGCAGAAATGCTACTGTGCACCCCCCTTTCCTGTAGGTTTTTACTTGCTACAACTATTGCACTGAATTTCACTTCTAACCTATCCATTCCCAGGTCACTCACCCATGGAAAGAGACGGCTTTCTTTTTTTTGGGAAAGCCTTTGATGCTAGTAGTCTTTCCAAGCTGATCCTTGCTGCTCTGGGCCCGACTTTCAATACTTGTTGGTGTGTCTCCGGCCTCATTTATTTCCTTGGATTGCCAGATAGTCTTCACCACAATGTTGGCCATTATAGATTGGGAGTCAATATCTGGTATGAGCACAGATTTTCTTGCCTGTACCACACCAGGAAACATCTACTATCTACAAGCCAACTGGCTCTCCAGGTAGGGCAAGGATCTTCTAGTTGCTCTCATGACCTCACAATGGTTGCCACGGGGCTGCCAATCATATGACCCCATTCTTCCATCAACAATTTGCACCACCAACATTCTATGGTATTAGTAGAGCCTTCAATGGAAAGAAAACTAATCCAATGATGTAATCCTGACATTGAAGCAATTGCATTGATTGAGTTGAACAAATATGCTGTACAATGAACTGCTTTTTTATACCTTGTCCAGGAAGGCAATGTCTAGATTCAGCTGCTACACTAGACTATATGAATCATAGTTAAGCAATCAGTCATACTTACACCACACATAGTGAGGTTCACAGAGTACAATGAACCTAAACCAAAAATACATTATGACTTAGCTATATGTAGACTCAAATATTATATAAAATTTCAAACCAATGTATTTAAATGAAATTGTCTTTTTTATGCTTTACAAATAATCTGTCTATATGACTTTTGTGTTGTTTGCTGCTTCCTACCTCTTCCACAAGCCTCAAGGATATAGCATCCATAGAAACCTACAAAGATAAAGTATTCACTTGCTGCATATTTTCCATGTCTTCTTGATTTTATTTCCCAATCCTCTGGCCATGAACTCATAGGTAATCACAATGGAAATTTGGGAAATAAAATTTAAGGTCATATATAATTTCACGATTTACAGCTGGAATTCAGTAAAAATTATAATCTCCTCCTCCTCCTTATCCTTCTCTTTTTTTTCTTTTTTGCATCCAGCTAATGTCAGCATTTGTTAGTAAAAAGCATGAACTTAATAGCAGAGATTCTAGATCAGGCTAAAAATGAAATAACACTATTCAATGTTATCAAAAATGTTATTTGAAAGATCTAGCTATTTGTTAAGCAAAACAATCCAAAGCATTTTGCTGATTGCTCTGGCAATGGGATGGGTCAAATGCAATGCTAAACCAAAGGCTAGTATTGTCTACTGTAAATCAAAGGAAACATTCATAATTTTTTTCTTTCTTTTTGATCAACATGAGGTGTCAACTAACCACAATCATTGATATGCTATGCTTAACTATTATTTACTGAATCAACCACAACTGAATCAACCACAACTGAATGATTCATGTTCCACAATATATTTGCATCTGTTTTATCAAGTTGTTCTTTCTCAGTTTAACATATTGGACATGATCATTGTGTTGGATATAACATGAGAAAACAGCTACATACATATCAACTTGAATTTCCAAAGAAAAGTCAGGATATGAATGCAATACTAACTATATTCATTAGTTAGTTTCCACATAAGACTAAACCATACACCAATGTTGGTTTTATCCAAGCAAATAAAAACCTTTCTATACCTTAACATAATATGCAAACCAAGTTTTCCCTTAGAATTATGCAAAATCAGATTGCTTCACTTTTTGAAGCTGCATTCAAGCAACTTAGATCTGTGTAGGGATATGAATGTATTTAAATAAATGAGCAATGCCGTAGGTAAATAAATAAGTACAGTGCTATCCTAAGAGAAGAGATAAGAACTAGTTTAGTCTAGTCTAGTGGTTAAGGCACCAGGCTAGAAACCGAAAGACTGAATCACTTCAGTTCAACTCACCTCACAAGGTTGTTGTGTGGTGAAAATAGAAGGAAGGAGGAATATAAGATATGTTCACTGCCTTCAGTTGTTTATAAAAAAATAATATAGGCAGGACATAAATGAAATAAAAATAAAACAATAATAAAAACAATGCCTTCAGTGTCCTTAGTTTCTACATTAATTCTTAGATGGAAAGGCAGGAATAATGATTTATTAAATATATTGCTGAAAAAACATCCTCAAACAGGAAAAAAATGAAAATAAAGGGACAAAAACACCTCAAAGTAGGAGTTCTAGAATTCTAAAATGCTGGAGACTATATAGTATTGTGTCCAAGTCTAAAAAAAGAAGTCCTTAACTTATGTCCACAATTAAGCCAATTTTTTTGTTTCTAAGAAAGACATTTGTTAAGTGAATTTTGCCCCATTTTACAATCTTTCTTGCTATAGTTGTTAAATAAATCACTGCAATTGTTAAGTTAGTAATGCGGATGTTAAGTGAATCCGGTTTTACCATTGACTTTGTTTGTGAGACGGTCACAAAAGGGGATCACATGATCCTGGGACACTGCAACCGCCATAAATATGAGTCAGTTGCCAAGCGTCTGAGTTTTGATCGCCTGACTGTGGAGATGTTGCAATGGTTGTAAGTGTGAAAAACGGTCATAAGTCACTTTTTTCAGTGCCGTTGTACCTTTGAATGGTCACTAAATGAACTGTTGTAAGTCAAGGACTACCTGTATATGTATACTTTTTAGTTCTCATGAATCAATAATCAAATAGGTCCATTCCTAAGCCAATGAATTCTGCCCTTAAAGGAGGCAGGAGGAACTGGAAGCAGCAATGCCAAATGCCCAATTGTTTTGCAAACCAATACGACTTTAAAAATAACCCCAAAGCACCCCCAAAATTTCCTTCAACTGATCTCCATTCTCCAATTCCAGGCAGGGGTGGGAATTGTATGCGTGCCAACAGAAGGGTAAACCGAGGTGGGAGCTGGGGTTCTCCTTGACGGTTGGTGACTGCTTTATGGCTATGCATGGGAGTGGGGTAAGGATAGGCAGGTCTGGGTAAACAGTGGTGGCACTAAACCTGCCCCAAAAAAGGAGGCAACGAGAGGAAAAAGCCTGGGGACGAAAGCTTTGGCAGCTGGATGCCAGGAATTCAGGAAAGGTTGAGGAATCCAAATATTAAGAGGAGGGATGTTGGAGGTTGCAAGGGTGAACCCAGCCCCCTCTATTTTTGCAAAAGGTCCTTGGGAGAGGAGGTGGAAAGTGGAGAAAGAATAAGAAGAATCTGGATTTGGAGAATGAGGGGCCGGTCATCCAGCAAGAGGGGAAAAGGCCAGTTGACCGACTAAGTGTGCTGGCATTATCTATGCCCCTGGGATACATTTTGCAGTTATTATTCATCAGTTTGCTATAGCTTCCCATATCTAAAGCCCTTTAAAAGTACCCAAAATAGCCCCAGAGTAACCTGAAAAGCTAAACATTTTTCAACATTTCTCCAAAACAAGCCCACATGGTGGGAAGACTGCCCAACCAGCAACTTTGAATTCTCCCTTCCCCCACCAATTAAAGGGGCAGGCAAGTAGGCTACTATACTTGGTAGTCTAGCTCAGCCCAGGAAGGCAGAGGAGGCCCTTGTGCCAGAAGGGGGTTGCCTGGGTCTCATGGCTGTTGCTTCAGCCACAATGAAACACTTATCTTGGCAAGGGAGCTGTTGGGGAGGGGGCAGAGGAATTAAGCCCAGAGGAGAAGCACCCCTTTTCCTTTTTGTCTGTTCTGAGGCACGAGGTGGCACTGAGCAACAATGGAGGGAGAGGAAAAGGAGCCAGGCTGGTTGGGGGACTTGGCCGGGGAATAGTCCCAAGTATGTGGGACGGTGCTGCTGAGGGATGTCTGTTTCCAGGTTCTGGAGTAGACATAAACCTGCTCCTTTGTCTCTCTAAGGAGGCCCAGCTCTTGGGCTGAGTCCCTTGCCTCCCACCACTGGTGGGATTCAAGTAATTTAACAATCAGTTCTCTCCCCTAATGATTTCTTCCAACAACCAGTTTGCCAAAATGCTCAGAAAGTTAACAACCACGGAGAAATGTTGGAAGTGTGATCAGACTCCAGGATCATATTACCATATGTAGTGGACATATGCTAAAAGATATTGGACTAAAATACACATGTGGTTGGAAAAAATGACAAAGAAACATATTGATTTTAAACCAGAGATATTTTTATTAGGGATTTTACCAGAAACATATAACAGAGAATTGCAATATTTAATTGTGAACGTTTTAACAGTGACTAGAATCATATTTGCTAAAAATTGGAAAGAAGTTACCGACTGATGATGAGATTATTAAGAAAATTATGGAATGTGCTGAAATGAGTAAATTGACATTTGAAATTAGAGAACAGGAAGATAAACAATATTATTTGATGTGGGATTTGTTTTATCAATGGAAAGATAATAAATCATGGGATTGAAGTATGAAATATGGGGTTGATGTAAAGATAAAATATCTGATGTTTTTTTTTCTATAAAAGATATAGGTTTCTGTTATAAATTGGTATTTTAGAAATGGATTTATGCACAAGAGAATATGAACCATTCGACTCGCTGTCTGTAATTGTTTGGAATGATGATGGTTTTATGTTTTGTTTTTGTTTTAAAATAAAAAGAAATTCTCAAAAAAAAAAGAAAGTTAACAACTGGTTCTTCCAAAGTGGTGCGAACCCACCACTGCCTCCCACCCACCCAAAACAAGGAGAGGCAATGCCTTCCCTGGTTTGTTTTACTTGTTGATTGTAAGCTCCTTGGGGCTGAGAAGAATTGCTGCAATTCTCCTCAGAACTGAGTTTCCTGAAGTGGACTGCTAGACTCCTAAGCAACTTAAAAAACGAGCTAGTAAAAAGAAAAGTAAAAGTTATTTACAAGAGAGGAAATTGCCAAATATATTAGAGGAAGACAGGGAAGTGTTGAATAACAAAATCACCTTAACAGACTTGAAAGAAGCAATTAAAAAACAAAAAATAATAAAACACCAGGGCCAGATGGAATTCCGGCGGAAGTATATAAAAAATTTCAGGAACCGTTAGAGAAAATAATGTTAGAAATTTACAATGAGGTGTTAGAGAGAACTAAAATGCCAAATTCGTGAACGGAGGCTTACATAACATTAATCCCAAAAGAAAATACAGATGACCATCATATCCAAAACTATAGGCCAATCTTGCTGCTAAATGCCGATTATAAAATCTTAGTGACAATAATGGCAGAAAGACTTAAAATAATATTAAACAAAATTATTCAATTGGACCAAAATGGGTTTTTACCCAAACGACAAATAAAATACAATAGAAGAATTATAATAAATATATTAGAGTATTACGAGGCCCACAAGTACTTCCAGAGACATCTGGTGAGAGGAAGCTCTGGATGAAGATAAAAAGGAATTTTTACACAAAAATTCCCAGATGGGTATCAAAAATGGAAGTCTTGGTTGACTCCAATTTAATTGACTTAAATAAAATGGTAAAGAGTTATTAGATGGACAAGGGAATTTGAAATCTAAGCAAAAATGATTAGAACAAGAAACAAAATAGATTGGTGGCTTTTCTTACAGATCCAAACAAAATATAACAAAGATTTAGAATTATATGAATTCCAAAATGAACAAGAAGAAATGGATAAAATATTAACAGGGACTGATGAGAAAATAATTACTAAAATGTATAATTGTTCTCCTTAAATCTAATATAGAAGAGGAAATGGTGAAAGAAACAATGATAATTTGGGCGAAAAATTTTGGATATAATATAGAATTAGAGCATTGGGAAAAATTATGGGGAACAAATTACAAAATGACATTGTCGGCCGCCTATAAAGAAGATATCTATAAAATGTTTTATAGGTAGCATTTACCCGCGGCGAGATTGGCTAAGATATTTCCAAATAACCCCCCATACCATTGGAAATGTAACCATCAACAAGGGAAATACTACCACATGTGGTGGACATGTCCCAAAGCCAGAGATTACTGGCTAAAAATTAAAAAGTGATTGGAGGAAATGACCGAGCAAAAAACTGACATGAAACCAGAACTATTTCTTTTGAGGATTATAAAAGAGAAAATGGATAAAAATATTCAATACCTCATGCCCCACATAATTACCACCGTCAGAATTTCATTTGCCCAAAACTGGAAACAACAATAAGCTCCTTCAAATACAATGATTATAAAAAAGGTGCTAGAGTGTGCAAAATCAGATAAGTTATCGATGGAACTCAAAGGAAACGATTTATTATGAAACATGGAATAGGTGGTATAATTGGCTGGAAAAGAAATCTAAAATCAATATATAGTGATAGTTAACAGAAGACATTATATTTAATGGTAGTAAGTATGAATATTATGTAGTGACTATATGAATAAGTATATAACAAACAAAATGCATATGTATATAATTGGCTGAAGGATAAAATGGATAGTAATACAGATGCTGGTATTGGAAAACTGTTAAAGTGTAACTAAGATTTTAAAGATGTAAATGTTGAATAAAAATATTTTTTTTAAAAAAGAAAGAAAAGTCAACCAAAATAGCAACATGCAAACAAAAGCAAATAAAACACCCCCAGGAGCAACACAAATTAAAGTTTAATTTGTGTGTATTGTTTAATGGACTGCTAAATTGGCAAAATGGACTGCTAAATTGGCCATGCCCACCCAGTCACACGACCACCTAGCCATCCATGCCTACCCAGTCACATGACCACCTAGCCATGCTCACCTAGCTGGTCCGGGCCCCCAACAGACTGAGGGACCATGAATTGGCCCCCTGTTTAAAAAGTTTGAGGACCCCTGAGCTATATCAATGAAATTCCTTTGATGTCAGCATTACAGCCTTGGATTAATTTTCTTTCCATTGAATGCTATACTGACTTCATAGAATGTTGGTGATATAAACTGTTGATGGAAAAATGGGGTCACATGATTGTCAGCCCCATGGCAACTGTTGTGAGGTCATAGCAGCAGCTGGGAAATCCATGCCCCACTTGGAGAGCAGACTGGATTATAACTGATAGATGTTCCCAGGTGCAGACAAGAAAATTTGTGCTCAAACCAGGTATTGACCCCCAACCCAGTAATGGCCAACATGGTGAAGACCATCTGGCAATTCAAAGAAATAAATGAAGCCGGAGACACACCAACAGGAATTGAGAGTCAGGCTCAGGGCAGCAAGGAGGAGTTTGGAAAGTCTACTAGCATCCCCCAAAAGAAGAAAACCACCCCTTTCCATGGGTGAGTGACATGGGAAGGGAAAGTATCAAGTGTATTTGTTGCAGCATGTGGAAACATACAGGGAGGGGTGTGAGTATGCCCAGTAGTACATCTGTTTGCCTACAAATGTTTTCAGATTCAGTCCTAGGCATCTTCAGGCAAAAAGACCAAAGCAGATGATGCAAAAAAAGTAATTTTCTCCTCTGGATTATGAAGAGCTGCTCCCCTCAGATCTCAGCTTTGTTGGACAGTAGCTTCCAGAATTTGTAGCTTGCATGGTCAAGCTGACTGAGAATAATGAAAGTTTGTACTCCAACATTAGGCTAAGTAGATAATGAATCTCATCTGATCTAGGGCAGGTTCCATAACAGTAGTTATTGCTGACAATAACTGGGTAGGTGTTGTGAGAATTCATCTAGCCTGGGGCAGTGGTGAAATGTAAAATTTGTTACTACCGGTTCTGTGGATGTGGCTTGGTGTGTGTGTGTGTGTGGGGGGGTAATGTGATTGGGTGGGTGTGGCCATTTTTTTTTTACTTTTAAAAACACTTTTTTTACAACCTCTTCGGCCGAAATGCTTTTTAAAAAAGTTTAAAAGCATTTTTAAATTTTAAAAATGCTTTTAAAAACCTATGACGATCCCAGCTGAGCCGTGCGATCATCAGAGACTTTTTTTTTTTATTTTTAAAAGCATTTTTTCGGCCGAAGAGGTTGTAGAAAAAATGCTTTTAAAAATAATTTTAAAAAGCCTCTGATGATTGCACGGCTCAGCTGGGCATGGGGGGGGCAGGATGTTTGCTACCAGTTCTCCAAACCACCTACCGCCATTGCTACCAGATCGGGCAATCTGGTCCGAACCTGGAGCATTTCACCCCTGGCCTGGGGAGTAGTATTTGGCATCAGCACTAATTTGATTCTATCAAATCAAATTGGTTTTTTGTGCAACTCAAAAGCCCGGCAGCCCTTCTGCATACAGTCAGGTCCAGAAATATTGGGACATCGACACAATTCTAGCATCTTTGGCTCTATACACCACCACAATGGAGTTGGAATGAAACAAACACAATGTGCGTTAACTGCAGACTGTCAGCTTTAATTTGAGGGTATGTACATCCAACTCAGGTGAAGGGTGTAGGACTTACAGCAGTTTGTATATGTGCCTCCCACTTATTAAGGGACCAAAAGTAATGGGACAATTGGCTTCTCAGCTGTTCCATGGCCAGGTGTGTGATATTCTCTCATTACCCCAATTACAATGTGCAGATAAAAGGCCCAGAGTTCATTTCATGTGTGCTATTTGCATTTGGAATCTGTTGCTGTCAACTCTCAAGATGAGATCCAAAGAGCTGTCACTATCAGTGAAGCAAGCCATCATTAGGCTGAAGAAACAAAACAAACCCATCAGAGAGATAGCAAGAACATTAGGCGTGGCCAAAACAACTGTTTGAAACATTCTCAAAAAGAAGGAATGCACCGGTGAGCTAAGCAACACCAAAAGACCTGGGAGACCACAGAAAACAAGTGTGGTGGATGGCCAAAGAATTCTTTCCCTGGTGAAGAAAACACCCTTCACAACAGTTGGCCAGATCAAGAACACTCTCCAGGAGGTAGGTGTAAGTGTGTCAAAGTCAACAATCAAGAGAAGACTTCACCAGAGTGAATACAGAGGGTTCACCACAAGATGTAAACCATTGGTGAGCCTCAAAAACAGGAAGGCCAGATTAGAGTTTGCCAAACAACATCTAACAAAGCCTTCACAGTTCTGGAACAAGATCCTATGGACAGATGAGACTAAGATCAACTTGTACCAGAGTGATGGGAAGAGAAGAGTATGGAGAAGGAAAGGAATTGCTCATGATCCTAAGCATACCACCTCATCAGTGAAGCATGGTGGTGGTAGTGTCATGGCGTGGGCATGTATGGCTGCCAATGGAACTGGTTCTCTTGTATTTATTGATGATGTGACTGCTGACAAAAGCAGCAGGATGAATTCTGAAGTGTTTCGGGCAATATTATCTGCTCACATTCAGCCAAATGCTGCAGAACTCATTGGACGGCGCTTCACAGTGCAGATGGACAATGACCCAAAGCATACTGCAAAAGCAACCAAAGAGTTTTTGAAGGGACAGAAGTGGAATGTTATGCAATGGCCAAGTCAATCACCTGACCTGAATCCCATTGAGCATGCATTTCACTTGCTGAAGACAAAACTGAAGGGAAAATGCCCCAAGAACAAGCAGGAACTGAAGACAGTTGCAGTAGAGGCCTGGCAGAGCATCACCAGGGATGAAACCCAGCGTCTGGTGATGTCTATGTGTTCCAGACTTCAGGCTGTGATTGACTGCAAAGGATTTGCAACCAAGTATTAAGAAGGGAAAGTTTGATTTATGATTATTATTCTGTCCCATTACTTTTGGTCCCTTAACAAGTGGGAGGCATATATAAAAAACTGCTGTAAATCCTACACCGTTCATCTGAGTTGGATGTACATACCCTCAAATTAAAGCTGACAGTCTGCAGTTAATGCACATTGTGTTTGTTTCATTCCAACTCCATTGTGATGGTGTATAGAGCCAAAGATGTTAGAATTGTGTCAATGTCCCAATATTTCTGGACCTGACTGTATATTGTGCTGATTCAATCTCAGGAGATCACAATTTAATTTACTTTTCTAGCAAAGCTAGAATCATTGTTCCTTTAAAAAAAACCTCATTTCTGATTCTTGCCCAAGCAAGTAGGGGGGAAAGCTCTTTCCATTCTTTTCTTCATTTTCTGGTCCCAATTATAGTGTTGGAGAAAAATCCAGTTTTATATATACATGGCTGTTAATTACTGCTTTCTTAACTGAGGCATTTGTTCATTCAGCTAGATAAAAAATTGCACCTTAAGTTTGTTGTCATTGAAATCTCAGAAATCCTGGCTTTGTTTAGGCTTGATTTATTTTATTCATTGTAGCCTTTTCTATAGACTTTGACTCCCTATAGGGAGAATCCAGCAGAGTGGCTGAAGCAGTATCTTAAGATTTGGGCTTAGTTTGATCTTGTGAACTCTGAGGTAGCAGACAGGATTCTCTGTGATGTTAATTTTGCGACCAGCAGCTCAAATTCCTCGTCCATTTAAACTTCTCAATAATGTTCTGTACCACTGACCATGATATTTTTTTTTGAATTATCTAAGAGATGGGTGGATGTGATGTGGGCGGGTGGATGTGGGTGGCATTATTCTGCAGTGGTTCCACTCTTCGGTTATATTTGTGATGTCAAGAGAAGTGACACCATAAGTCACTTGCCCCAGGACTTGATTCTCTTTCTTTTACTGTTTATTATTTAAATGAAACCACTGGGATAGGTCATTTGTTGGTTTGGAGGGAGAGTTCAATGGCATTTACTATGCATAATGACACCAAACTTTATAGCCTGAACATAGAGGAAATGCAGAGGAGATCCTCACGCAGGGTGTGAAAAGTGAGAGATTGAATGGGATGGCAAGAAAGTAGGTTAAACCAAATCACAGCAAGAAGTTATTGCTTGTTCAGAAACAATTGGTCTTATTTTGTGCCCCAGCATTGGCTTTAGAGAAGATTGCATTTGTTGAAGACATTGACAGTAGACACTCTTATCTTCATTACTTCAACATTGTTTATTCCAATATATTATGTGTGGGCTGCATTTGAAGATTACTTAAAACTCGAGTTGGTGCCCAAAGGCTGCGAGTTGAGATCAGCTTCAGCAGGGTAGCATTGGGCTGTGAACTATGTATTGGTTAACAATAAACTTCCCTTTATAAAATCCTTATTTTAATCTATAAAACCTTCCCTGTTGGGCTATATATGCTACTTTATGAACCATCTTCTTCACATAGATATTGTGTGTCCTTTCTGGGAGGGGCATCTTTAGACTCCCCCCCCCACTTTAAAAAGTGACAGAGATGGGAGCCTTTTTGATAGTTGCCCTATCTCTTTGGAATAATCCGTTGTTTAAATTTATTGGTAGAGGGATATGATAGTATGTGAGTCATCCAAAAATGTGTTAACTTGGCTGCAGTATATAAATGATGCAATACATAAGGAAAACCGGGGGCTCTAACAATGCATTGGATTTCAATTCTCAAAATTTCCAGGATGATCTTCCAGAATTTCCATATAGTAACCCCATAAATTGAGGATGTTAACAAGAAACACATACTTAGAAAGTATCATGTTTGGGAGAGCTGGACTAGAATTTTGTCATTATTTTAATATCTTCATCTATTGACATCTGTTTGCTCATGAAGGGAGTTTAGAAAGTATAGCAGAAAAATGATAAAATTGTTACCAGCCAAGGATTGTTTTTGGTTCCCAAAAGCTTAGGTTGCCAAGAAATATGTTAGCCATTGAGGCATCACAAGGCCTTCACTGTAGTAAATTATCAAAACTACCTCTCTATGATATATTATGTGAGAAAAAAAGTCCATTACTATTATCTAAGGATAATATGTGTACTTTTTCCCAACCCAGAGTTGAGCCCCATATTACCAGTGAAAGCCCTAATCTGAACTTGAAGCGTTCTTCTGCTTGTACTAATGTTTCTCTCCTGAATCTAACTGATGAGGAACATGATGATTCCACCAGTGAGAATGAATCCACAGATGATGAAGGCCTGCCATGGGGAGCAGGAGATGAAAGAAGGGATCCTATGCTTCCCATCAAGCCAGCTTGGTCAGAAGATGAAGATGATACTTCTAGCCAACAGGTGAGGAAATGAGTCACAAGCCCACATACCTGTTGCTGCTTTACTAGATAATTAATTATCTTGCCCTGAATTAGTAATGTTCTAATAATAAACAAGTAAAAATGCTTCTTTTTCCTTTCCCCACAAAGATAACTAACTTATGGCTCTTTAAATAACAAGGTGATTATCCCAATAGCTACTGTATGCTATGGTAGTTATTTAAGTGCATAAAACACTGGTCTCTTTAGTGTTACAGACAGTAGATTAACAGGTTCTCTTGCAAATTTTCCCAAAAATCATTTGTACTCTTCACGTGCTCGGGGTCTGTATATCTTTTAAGTGCATATTCCACTTGAAGATGTGACTTCTCATCTTTCTCTAGTGAATGGAAAGTGTCTGTTCTCTTGGAATATCTAGTCTTGTCTGTGTCTGCTACTTTAGATTTGTCACTTTGTCATATTTGTCACATTGTCACTTCCATCCTCCATATCCAGAGGAAAAGTAAGTTGGTATTGAAATACAGCAGCCAAACTTTAAGTCAAATCCATTATGGTGTTTCTCTAACTTCATGGATGCTTCTACAAGGCATGCTGGATGTCTGCTTGAGGTAGTACCTGATTCAAGAACCAAAGAATCATAGTAGTATACATGGAGACTGTACTGTTTAGCTCCATGGTGGACTTCCTGTAAAGTCCCAGAAAATAATTCCATTGTGGGCTTCCTGTAATACTTCCAATGTCTTTTTGTTGGCCTAGCATTTATTTGGGCAAGCAACCTAGACGCTTGTCTGAGTTTGCTTTTCTTTTACTTTATTATTAACTTCATGTTATCCAGACCTTCCTCAATAAGGGACATTTTGCATCTGGTGCAATCAAACTGAGAAGATAGTCAGAAGTATTTATAGATATATTCCCTAAATTTATCATTAGTAAAAAAAGAGAAATGGGAGAATTTTCAGCTTCCTCTGTACCACAACTTCTTAAAAGACTTTTATAGAAAAGGAGATGCATCACATTGAATGCAAATCCATATTAGCTAATTCCATTTGCTTAATGCTTGGCCATCTGAGTTTCTTTCCCACCTGTAAAATTTCTTGAAAGAAAGCTGCCAAAAGGTGACAAAATCTGTGGAGGATGCTGAAATTAAGACAGGTGTGCTGGAAGAAAACTCAGCCCTCTTGGAGGTGAGAGAGAGGATACCCATTTTTGCCCCTAAATGTCTGTTTTAAGCCTTTCACCTTTTTTCATTTTTGTCAAGAAATTCTCTTTCCCAAAAAATAAGCATGAACGTTTTACCAAAAGGAAGCCATTGTCTCCTAGGGATTAAGGCAGTGGTGGGTTTCAAAATTTTTTACTACCGGTTCTGTGGGTGTGGCTTGGTGGGCATGGCATGGGAAGGATATTGTAAAATCTCCATTCCCACTCCATTCCAGGGGAAGGATACTGTAAAATCTCCATTCCCTCCCCAATCCAGGGGAAGGTTACTACAAAATCCCCATTTCCTCCCGATCAGCTGGGACTCAGGAGGCAGAGAATAGATGGGGGTGGGGCCAGTCAGACTTTTTATTACCGGTTCTCCAAACTACTCAAAATTTCTGCTACCAGTTCTCCAGAACCTGCTGAAACCCACCTCTGGATTAAGGAGATTATAATTCAGGTTCAAGGTCAACCATCAAAACTCTCTCTCTCTCTCTCTCTCTCTCTCTCTCTCTCTCTCTCTCTCAGCCTCGCTTACTGCAAAAGATGATATATGGAAATTTTGGAGAAGGTAACTGTGCACAAGGGAAATAAGCACCCTCAACCTTACTTGATTCCTTGTGGTATAGATTTTAAACAGCAAAATGAAAATGGGTTATGGTTACCTTTTCTGAGATTTTGCTTTTAAAGTCTCACCAGCATTGTGTAGGGATTAACTTTGGACTGAAGAGACACTGGCTCTAGTCCTGTCCTCACCTGAAGAAACATAAATGGTTAGTTTTTTCCAACAATATCCCTTTGAGGAGGCTGGGCTGAGAGAGGGAGGGAGTGGGGGATCTTTGGGCCAGTCACTTCCTCACTTAGCCAAGTCCCCTGAAAGGAATAGCACTGGAAGGAACCAGAAGAGTTAGAAGTCAGCTTGCCAGCTAGAGTTTCTCATTCAAAATTGGGGTGGAAATCTAATAAATCACCAGAGTTATTTACGGTCGTATCATTTCTTGATGGGTTATCTGAGTATTATATGGTTAAATGTCAAGAACAGCCACATTCAATTAGTTGCTGTCCTCTGTAGACTCCTAAATAAAAGGGGGAATAAGAGGAAGAGGAGGAAAGAGTAGTGCAAATTCTCCATTTTGCCCATCCTTGGATTTCTGGAAGAAGAACGGTCCCTTGTTTTAAATTCCCTAAGTGATCCTGCAGTTTATCCATTTCATTTAGCCTCTTATTAAATTCAAAAAGTTTGGAATTATTTGGATTTCATCACCAACACTCAAAAAGAAAGCAACACAAGACTGCATCCTTCTGAGGATTTGCTGAGTTGTGTTTTCTACAGGTTCACTTTGAGGTGAAGGATATTTTTCAGATGAACAATATGTTCCTCCTCTTGTTTTAGCCCAATTGTGTACCACATCTGCAGCCAAGCCAAGCCAAGGTGACCAATTGTTCAGCAGCCCATTGGGCAGGAAGGAAAGGAAATGAAGAAACAAATCAGCCTGTTAAATAAGATAGTTGGAATCACCTAATTGGAGTCCTGGTCCAGTTTTAAGCTTGTTGCAATGCACATAACAAAATGGACAGGATTTAATCAAGTGATCATAACTGCCATGTTGACTTCTTTGACTCCTGCCCCGCCAGATGCTCCCAAGGGAAATTAAAGTAATTGAGACATGCACACATACACATAACCGCCAGCAAGAATAACTTTGTTCTATGTTAGCCTTTCCCAGGCTGGCATTCTCCAGATGTATTGGACTACTGCAACTGGAGTGCCTAGCTAGCCCAGCTATATGGCTGGGAATTAAGAGCATTGTGATCTATAACATCTGGAGGATGCCAAGATATTTTGCTACCTCTGTTGCTCCCTGTTACTTTCTTTGTGGATTTGAACTCTAATAAAACGTTTTACTGTATCAGCATGCTAATTGGAAAAGAGAGCAGCACATAAATATACAAATTACCCCAAATTAATCTTATTTTGTCTCTGTCACTTCCTCCACTCTGTTTAGGAGAAACTGCGTAACTTACAGCAACAGGTTCAAATAGAAGACTTTCGTTGGTAAGACCTCAACTGCTACTTAATAAGTTAATTAATTATTAACTTAAAATTAATTAAATAATTAATTAAAACTTAATAATCCCCAAGGTTGACCATCTTTGGGGAGAGGGAACTTCAGTACTGCACTGCTGCTCTCTCTCCTCTCTGAGGAGGGAATGGGAGGGGAGGAGCCTTGATTTTGATAGAGGCAACAAGATATCTTCCAACTGGTCTCTTTTTATGACATCTCACTCTAGGAAATGCATGCTGGAGTTGGCCCAGAAGGAGGTGCTGCGGCTATTGGCCCAGTTGGGAGTACACTTGGAGGGAGTGCTTCCCCAGAATGAAAGGACACAAGTGGAACAAAGCCAAGCACTCAGGATGCTGAGGGAAGAACTGGATGAAGTCTCAGCCACGTATGTGTCTCTCTTGAGCAGAGGCTCCATTTTCTTTAAATTGGACAGCCATTTCTCTCCTCCAATCTCCAGTTCTCTTAGGTCCTTCTGAGTTTTGACCTCTTATTCCCAGTGAAAGAAGGACCAGATTTAAGAGATGATGGAGGCAAGAACAATTCACTGTTTACTGTTTCCTAGAGCTAAGATCTATGTGGAGGGCAAACTTGCATCTGTCTGAGCTGTTACAGAGCTTTGAAGTTGGAATTTGTGGATATTTGATATTTTTACTTATTGCAACTGTCGTTTTTCATCCTTCTCATACCAGGGCAAAGCGAGCATCAGTATCTCTGACTCAGCTCCGTGTAGACCTGGATGGGCTCTGGCAAGTGAATCCACTCCTGGAAGATGTATCCCAGTATCTTGGAACACTCAAGAACATAGAAACATTTAGTTGGCCTCCTCCTACTTGTGCTAGATGTTCCAGGTACATCAAACCTCAGGGTCAGAATTGAAGAATATAGGCCAACCTGATAATGAAAATCAAAAGGCTACCATAGATTAAGAAAGGATGTGTAGATTGGGGCAATGTTAAGTTTGATTTCTTTAATTTCATGGAGGCCAATGTCATAAAGCCTCTAAATAATGGTTTTCTTAATCACAATTTATTAAACAAAGCATAGTCCTTGATTTACTGTATAACTAACTGAGCCTGGAATTATAGTTATTTTTTAAAAAAAATTGATTTATATGCCGCCCTTCTCCGGAGACTCAGGGCAGCTTACAACGCGTTAAGCAATAGCCTTCATACTTTTGTATATTTATACAGAGTCAACTTATTGCCCCCACAAACTGGGTCCTCAATTTACCTACCTTAGAAAGGATGGAAGGCTGAGTCAACCTTGAGACTGGCGAGATTCGAACTTACAGTAATTGCAGACAGCTGGTGTTAATCACAATGCTATCAGTCTGCTGAGCCACCAGGCCCAGTTATATGTCATGTCGGTTGTTAAGTAGGTCACCATGTGACCATACCTGATTTTACAACTATTTTTGTGGAGGCTATTAAGCAAGCACCACAATTCTTAAGCAAACACCACAGGGCTTGATAAGTGGATCAATTTTACTCAATGGGCATTTTTACCAGAACCCAGAAGTAAATGCCAGAAATTTTTTTTAAAAAAAAAACACCCTCAAAAAAATCATGGAACCCTGCAAGGATCCATAAATATGAGTGATGTGGTCATTAATGAGGACTATCTTCATTGGATATCTTTTCACATGCTAAGCCATAAATCAAAGGTAGACCTGGATTAATGCTTGAATTTCCAGCCTGCTGGTGGGTTTTCTGCTGCTGCTTCTGTCAGAGGAAATTGTTAACAAATATAAATGTATTTCATCCTCTGGGCTCAGACGCCCATTCCCATCTTATTTGCCATTTTTGACTAAAAAACATAGAAATTTGGCATTCTGCAAATGTCTGTGACATTTTGTGATGTTTTGGGCATGGTAGATGGGGTGCTGGATTTGGTAATCCCCAAGGGCCAGAAAAACTGTGATAAAACCAAATTTACCATATTATGGCTTAGCATGATTGATTGACTGATTAAATCAATTTAATAGCTGTCCAGTTGACATATGAACCAGAACAGTGTACACCAATTTAAAAAAAAGTAATAAAACCCTCTATATTAAAATACAGTAAAATATATTCCCAAAATAACTTTATCAACCAAAACCAATCCAGAAGCCTCCGTACCCAGTGTCTGAGGAAAAGCCAGGTCTCAAACCTTTGAAAGATATTGTCAGGGCCATTTGCATCTTGGTAAGAGCGCTGTAAGAGGGCAGGCAGTGAAAAAATAGTCCTGGGTGCTCCAAATAATGCAACTTAAGGGACGGGGTCTCTGAACATGCTTACCTTTGTCATAGCTTATATTGTAGTGATTCTCAAACTTGACAATTTTATGCTGTATGAACCTCAATTCCCAGAATTCCCCAGTTTTCATTAGTTAAAGCCTCTACAGCTTGATATTGCCAAGGGTGAGAAACACTCTTATTGGATGGACATGATGAATGAAAACAGTTACAAACTCTTAAGGTTTTTCCATCATTACCCTCCCCCAAAAAACTTATTTAAGCAATCCATGAGCAGTATGTTAACAAAAAGCACTGACGTAATATTACGGATTTCCTTGAATGGACAAGCAAGTAATTTCAATTTTCCAGTTCACAGAAGAGACGGTTTAGTATTACAGAAGCCAGTAAATTGACTATTCACATGAGCAGTTAATTGGCTGTTGCTGAAAATGGAGTTTTCTACAAAATTGAGTATCTGGCATTGGTTTTATATTCTTGAGAACATCTGTTTTCATTTCTTTGAAAAAGGTCAAGTTGCTAAAGCTCATGATAATGGCATGTATGTTTAGAAGAATCAAGAGGAGCTGGATTTTAAATGGCTTTTTAAAATTCTCTTTAAGCTTAGAATTTTCATAACTTCTCCTCTCTTCTCCCCTAGCCCCCCCCCATTTTTCCTGCTAACAGTATTTTTAAACCCTCTTCCAATTGACTCTTTTATTTCACTTTCTGGTTCGTTTCCTACCCACAGCTACAGCATTGCGAATACAGAGGTGCTGCAAAAGATGTTTGAGCATGCAACAGCACCAATTTTGAAGGAGCTGAAGCAGCAGGCCCAATCAGAAGGTGTATGCCCCAGCTGCCAGCATTTGTAGAAGACTACGATACAGTGAGGCACAGAGTATTGACTAAGCCCAGACTTTCCTGCCCCCAATAAAAAGATTTCAGAGTGCAGCCTTTCTGGAGTATTCTTTTAACCCTAAATCAATGCAGGCCAGATCAAGATCTGGGAGATTTGGAGCAGATCCATCTTCATGATGGATTTACAGTCTGACAAACTGCCTATTCTGAATCTTGTTCCCATTCTAAAATGACATCAGTTAACCAAAATTTCTGGCAGAAGTCAATTTCAAACATTTTAGTTTAACAGGCTGGAGGTGATTGTCCGTGTGCAAAGGACATTTGCTTTCTCACTGTTGGTTCCTTTCTTGCTGTGCTCATAGCAGTTCAAGAGTTAAATGCAGTCTCTGAAAGTCTTGAATGCGTTTTCTTGAGCTCCTCTGTTAGTGAATCTTCTTCCTTTTGGCCAGCCATCATATCTTTCCCATTCACTCAGGATGATCTATATTTTATTTCAGTTTCTCACAAGTTTAGGACCATCCATTCTCTGTTGTTCTGAAAGGCTCCATAAAGAACTGCAACAAAAGCTCAGTGTTTTTGGAATGCTACAAAAATTACAGGTATTATCAGGATCTCTTTCTTCATCAAATGCAGAAGGAGAGGACAATAGGAAGGGCGTGAACATAGTGTTTGTGCAGGATTTTTAATAGAGGAGGAAAAAGGGACTTCCTTAGGACTAGGAAAAAGGTGAAGAGAAGCTAACTTTTATTTATTAAATTCATATCCCATCTATTTGCCAAAAATGCATTCAAAGCAGTCAATTATCCTGCATTATAAATAAAAATTGTTGTGATGAAGAGGTAAAACAAGGTAAAATATTAATATTAAAAGGATGTGTTGCTTCTATGCCTTTACTAAGGAAAGAACTGCAAATCAGCAAGAAGTTCAGGCAACTATTCTCCAGCACAAGAAGCTGGCATATTCCAGTATTATCTTGACTATATGACTTCATTGAGAATGTTTGTTACCTGGGGGAGGGTAACACTGCAGCAGCCGCAGAAGCTTGACTGAGAGCCAAGGGGCTGGCACAAAATAATAAGTGTAATCCTGGAGGTCTGTGGAGGCTGAAGAGACAATCTGAAAGGAGAGCATACAAGCAGGACAGCCCAGAGAGCCGGTCAAAATCTCCACATCTGGTCTATCAAAACAATCATATTTTCCAGGAGGAGGCAATGGAGGAAGCTATTAGTCAGGAAGAGAAGCTTCTATTAAAGGCAAAAGTTTATGGGAGAAACTCTAGAAAATCCTCCTCCATATCCTATAGGCAACTGTCCATGTTCTCAATCTACTGTTCTGCTCTCAAGTGGATACTTGTTCCAAAGGCGGCAAGCTCATAGCTCTGTAGAAGGAAATGATTAAGACTCCATATCTGCTTTCTATGGGTGTATTTCTTGGAACGCTGACACTTCCTTCTTTTGTCCTTCCACCATTAAATAACAGGAGGACAAAGCCATTTATCACATCCCCAACTAGGATGCTGTTCTCTCTGTCATCCACCCAAGTGGATGACAGACAGCGGATACCTCTTTTGGGTATCTAAACTCAACTTCTCTATCAGACAATCCACGCCCAACAAAAAAATAGAATGCACTATGGGAAAAAAGAACAGTGACTGTACTTTCTTTGGAGAATTAAGATGTCGCAACTTCATGCACAGACTGAGTCACAATGAATTCCAAGAACATTACAGTTTTCCCACAAACACAAAATTTACCACAAATGTTTTAAAAAATGCTGAAACAAAACATGGTGATGGTGTAATACTAAACAAAGGAAAGGATTCTTGGCTCTCCTTTCCTCACTCAACCTGCTGAACCTGGATATTATGTCTTGACGTTATTGGGATTCTTCAGGCAAGCAATGAGGCTGACAGCAATTGTGACCACACCTGTATGGTAACGGTGTGTAGTGGGAAAGAGATGGAGCACTGAGACCATTTTTATAAGAGCTGCAACTCTAATGGCAACATCACATATCACATTAACTATAAATCCCAATAAAGCACAATTGCAATGTTCATATGCCGAAATCAATACAGAATGTCAAAACATGAAGAAGTGGGTCACCAAAAGCTGAGTTCCCACAACCTACTGGACATAAACAACCCATACTGATTTTAGCCTAATTTACTAATTTCATTGTACTGTGTATAATGCACACAACAGCTCAGGATATGTAAGATTTCAAGATAAGGAATCGAGGATTTAGTGTCAAGATACTAAAAAAGTATACTGCACACTTCTTCGTTCTGATTTAGTCTAGTGGTTAAGGCAGCAGGCTAGAAAGCTGGAGGCCGTGAGTTCAAATCCTGTCTTAGCTATGAATGTCAGCTAGGTTACTTTTGGACAGTCACTCTCAGCTCAACCCACCTCACAGGATTGTTGTAGGGAAAATAGGAGGTGGAAGGTGTGTTGAATACATTTACTGTTTTGAGCAGGACACAAATACTCAAGAGACTTGCTAGAGATGTTCATTTATTACATTTCAGCCAGCAAGCCTCACTTCCAGCAAAATATGAAATTGGCTACCTTCACATTAGTTCTTGGCATGTACCATTTCCACAAGCAAATATTTTCTTCTACAAAACTGCTTTTACCCATATAGGGGTAGTGCTTAATGACTGCCCTGTTTAGTGATCATTTGAAATTACCACAGTACTGAAAAAATGATTTTATAACTTGTTCTCACACTTTTGCAGCATCCCTGCAGACATGTGAACATTATTTGTGTACTTGGCAAACTAGGCATTTATGATAGTTACCCAGTGTCATGCTTTCAGCATTTGTACATTTTATAGCCAACTTCCCAAAAGCAGAATCAATGGAATAAAATCCAGCAATAAAATAGCAGGTAGTGGTCATGTGATGTTTTGTTTAATGACCACAGGTGAATCACTTAACCACTATGGCAGAAGTGATGCCATAAATCTAGTCACATGATTGTTCACTTAATGACTGTATTGCTTAGTGAAGAATGTGAATTTCTTGCTAATGAAAAGTTTTAGGTTTAATCTTTAATATTACCAATACCATATAGTTACTGCTTAAAATAGTAAACTAGCTGAATACCCATGCTTTGCTATGAAACTATGTGATTGGGCTTGATAAATTGACACTTAAAGCTTGAAAATTAATGAGTAGTTAAAAAGGCACTGTATTATTTTGTTAGAGATGATAAGTTTCTGTTACAGATTAAGTCATTATTGTAAGTCTAACAACAATAAAATAGATGGGTTTAAATCCTTTAATCCCACCGGCAACCCTGGCTTTTTGTCTACGTAATAACTTGCATAGCATAGGCTTTCAATTCCTCCCTCAGATGAATTGCTCAGGACCTCCCTGTAAACAATATTCCTGGTTTTGCTCTCTGGCTAGAGGATGACCAGGCTGTCAGGTGAACTGACTCTGGAGCATGCCACATACAACTGGCCATGGGAGAAACAGTCACTTCTCAGATGCACACCAGCCACTTTCAAAGTCTGTCCCTGTGCCTTATTGATGGTGATGATGTAGCACACCTTAACGGGAAATTGTAGACATTTGAACTTGAAGTGGTAGTCTGATGGTATCAGAGGAATTGAAATGGGGTATGAAAATGGTTTCTCCCTGATTGACGCCTATGAAAATAGTGGCTTCGATTATGTGTTTGTACAGAGACTTCACCTAAAGCCTGGTGCCATTGCACAGTTTTGGAAGGGTTAGACTGCATAACAACATGATTGGAACTCCAACCTTAAGGTAGAGGACATGAGGTGATAATCCTGGTGGGCTGAGAGTGTGCAAGAACTCCATAGGGTAATGTACAGCATCCTCAATTTCCATTACTGAGTCCACAGATTCGTACTTCATATGCTCAGTGGACAGCTTCTCCAGCAGAAAGTTGTTGATGCTGTTGGCTGAGTCGTTTGTTTGAGTGAGAATAGCTCTTCCCCTCAGCCATAAAGTGCAAGCCACTCCAGCCTGATGAATGTTGGGGTATGTTCTGTCTGTCAAACTGATCAGATCTCTCACAATATCACAAGGTTACTTGGAATAGTTATTCTTCCCTCCTCTTCCAAAAGCTTCCAAAAGCCATCACCAATATCAAGTAATAAGTTATACAACTCTTCTGCCATCAAATCACATTGAAGGTGGACATGCATGTTAACAACTAGTGTTACAGTAGAAGGAACAGATTTGTCTGAGGTCGTCAGTGTAAGAAGTGATTTGGGGCTGGGACACTATGCAGGAGAAATTTGGTTCACAATCCGTTGGCTCAGTGGTAATCGGTGATTGAAACTCATAAGGGAATATCTCTCCTGCCGCCTTGAGTTTGGAAGCAGTTCCATAGGTGGAAGGCGTAGACATTTTGGTGAATAGCAATGTTTAGTACTGTAAGGAGCCCCAGACCACTCCTAAGTGAAGGAGTGGAACATCTGCCAGTTTGAACTGAGGTAACGGAATGTGAGGTAACTGGCAGTTGGAGCAGAGTTCTTTTCAGTTGGGGAGGGGGAGTAGAATGTCTAATTCCTTAGCATCATTTGTAATCTATGGTCAAGCCAAGAATGTAGACAAGTCAATACCTATGGCACTCAATTCAGTATCATCTCTTTAAAAATCCTTTTGCATTTCCTGTAGTGATTGTGGTGAAGTCTGCCTTGAAATCTCCAGATTCCTGTTCATCAGTGCCATCTGCCCATCTGATTCCAGATGATGCACAGAAGTGGATCTGGACCCCATGACTTTTGAAAAGTTTTTTATCAGAACTTGGTAGTAAATTGCGTGACTGACACCAATTGGTCAGTTAAGTCATGTAAACAGAAGATATGTTGTAACAATCACTGAGTTGTGTCTTTGATTGGAGGAAGCCCTGAGCAGACTGTGAAGTGAGCCATTTTTGTTAAAGTGTCCACCATCACCAAAAGGCCCCCTTTCCCCTTGTTAAATGTTATAAAGTCTAATGATACAGTGACCCAACGATATATTGGGCTGGGTGATGGCACCAAAAGTCCTCATTACTTGACTAGTGTGTCTTTTTTCTATGACAGGCTGAGCAGGAGGTTATATCATCCTGATTCATGGTGATCAAAAATCCCATAATTAAATTGTCTTGAAGAGTCCAAGTGGCCTGGAGCAAGTATGCACTGACCACCAGAACTTAACAGCATCTACAAACATGCTCTCAATTCTGGGGGTCAGTGCATACTTACACAAAGTATCATGCCTCCTCTAAGATATATCTCCATGTTTCAAAAGCTTGAATGTTTGCAGCTTCTACTAGTGCTACCCCATAGTCATATCTGAAGGACGGCGGATTCTGATGCAAAAGCAGTCTTTAAAGCTACAAAAATATGTTGTGCATCTTCATTCTAAATTAATGTTTTCCTGACCAATGGGCAGGGCCAGAGGTGCAGTGAAATCTACAAAATGTAGTATATAATTTCAATAGTAATTGACAAAGCCAGGCCAATGATCTTGGCAGAGCATGTGATAGCTAGATGTCCCTGGAGCCCACAGAACAAATACAACCCTCTCTGCACCATTGAGCCTTTCCTGTTTCAGTCAGTTGAGGGTGAGCTACCTTGACCTATGTGGTTTCCTCTGATGATGTATGTTCAGAGATAGGCATCGATCTGCAGGGAGATTCTAGGTTTGATAATATGTTGTTGGCTTAAGATCTAATGTTCCATTACTGTAAACACTAATCAATGACTATAACCATGTTGCTTGTATCTTTACGATTTATATGGTTTTATTTGTTTCCTAGTATGGTTTGATTGCTTATTAGTAACCTAATGGTTATCACTAAGTGCTTTATCTTATGATTCTTGATGAATGTATTTTTTTCTTTTTATGTACACTGAGAGCATATGCACCAAAGACAAATTCTTTGTGTCAATCACACTTGGCCAATAAAGAATAAAGAATTCTATATGAAGACACAGCTATATTAATTCTTTCAAAAGATCCGAACATTCAGGTTTAGCTAGATCATCTAAAGTTACATCTATCAAACCTTCTTTAAATTGATATATGCAGTATTATTCTGTTAAATTCTTAGAAATTAACTTAAATGTACTTACATATTCAGCCACTGTGTGGCACCCTTATTTAAGTTCCCAAATGTGGTGATTCCTGCTTTGAGTTTTTATGGGACCTACATATATAGACCTAAGCTGAGGACTGAATTTGGCACAGTTGTTCAGCAGAGGTTCAGTAATGGGGTCCCCCCCCCCCAAAAAAAAACACCTTTTGAGATCCCATATCCAAAAATCTGAAACTTGCACAGGGAGTATGTTGCATCACACAGAATTCACTATTTTTGGAATACTTTTTCCTTCAATGCCTTTAGATTTATAGTCCAGGAGCAAAGCCTGATGTTTAGCTAACATTTTTTCACATTGTTTTACTCTCCTACACCAACCTTAGTGTTATTATCCTCCCCATAAAATATGGGAACAGTTGTTCAGAGAAGAAGAGCAACATAGACCTGCATTGGAAAACCACTCATTGAGGACTTGGTACTGTAGCTGAGTGATGTGTGGCATTAATCAGATCTGAGTAATATTTGGACTTGAAAAAACAATAGGAAGCTGCACTCTCCAAAATCAACAGGACCAGGAAAAAACAAAATTTAATTTACATATATCGTTACAATTAATATTGTTGATTGTTCCTTGTCAATGTTTGTTCCCTGTCAACTTTCACTTTCAGTCACACTGAATCTATCATTCAGCACTAATGGAAGTGCTCAGGAAAGCACATGCAGGATTTTCATTTCACTTTTGGGTTGTGGACTGAATTCCCTGTATGAGCCAAGAGGAGAGGAACAAAAGCTTAGTGACAAAGTTATTGTGCTTTACCCACTGAAGATCCTAAATTTAACTCCAGTATTTAAAAATATTTTTCTGCCAGAAATTTTGGTGAACTGATGTCCGATTAGAATGGGAATAAGATTCAGGGTCTGGCCTTCATCAACTTAGGATCAGAAAAATGCTCCAGAAAGACTGCACTCTGGAAACATTTTATTGGGGGCAGGAGGGTCTGGGGTTAGTCTACTCTGTGCCTCACTGTGACATCGTCTTCTGCAAACGCTGGCAGCTGGGGCATATGCCTTCTGATTGGGCCTGCTGCTTCAGCTTCTCCAAAATGGGTGCCATTGCATGTTCAAACATCTTTCGCAGCACCTCTGTATTCACAATGCTGTAGCTGTGGGTGGGAACCAAGAGGTGAAAAAGAAAAGAAGAAAAGAAAAAAAGAGAAGAGATGCCATTTACATAGTCAGTCAATATACAACGTATGATAGGTTTTAGTCTTGAAAGAAAGAAAAACAGCCCAGGTACAGAGTCAAGGAAACTCCCTTCATGCAATGTCAGAAGAATGCAATTTGCTGCACTGAAAATAACATAAATATAAGCTATCTCTGGAAGTGATCTTATTTAACATAAATATGGCAAAGAAGCACTAGTCCAACTTAATATTGCTTTAGAGCAAATTCCCCTTTTTTCAGAACTGGTGAAGGGGGGTTCAAAATATCATTAGAAGAAAAGAGAGGAGGTAGGCAATATGTATGAAACATCTAAGCAGAAAAGAGAGTTTTAAAAAGCTGCCTTTTAAAAACCCAACTCTTGATTCTTTAAACATGCATGCCAATTACATGAGCTTTAGCAACTTAATTTTTTTTAAATAAATGAAAACAGATGTTCTCAGGAATCTAAAGCCAATGCCAGAGACTGGATTTTGTAGAAAACTGCATTTTCAGCAGCAGCCAATTAACTGTTTATGTGAGTAGTCAATTCACTTGCTTCTGTAATACTGAACCTTCTCTTCTGTGAACTGGAAAACTGCCATTACCTGCTGGTCTATGAAAGGAAATCTATAATATAAAGTCAGTATTTCTAGCTGACATACCATTCATAGGCTGCTTAAGCAAAAATTTTGGATAGTCCTTGAAAGAAAAATTGTAAGAGTTTATAGCTGTTCTGATATATCAGGCCCATCCAGTAAGAAATTATTTTTCAATCTTGGCAACTTTAAACTGGGTATATTTCAACTCATGCTCAATGAATTGTGAACTGGCTCAGGAATTTTGGGAGCTGATGTTCATACAGCTTAGTTACCAAGACCTGGCTTTCCCCCCAAATACTGGATGGGAGGTTTTTGTGCCATTTAACTGCTTAAAGATTTGGTTGGATGTTACTTTAGGAATTTTAATGTTGAGAGTTTATTACACATTGCTTTCTATTGGTGTACACTACCCTGTGTCAACTGGGAAACTATTAAATTGATTTAATCAGTCAATCCATCATGCTAAGTCATAATATGGTATGTTTGGTTTTATCTTAGTTTTTGTGGCCTGTGGGAATTATAAACCAGAGGTTATACCAAGGCCACCATCCATCTGCCATGCCAAAAACATCCCAAAATGTACTATCACACTTTAAAGGCAGAATGCCAAATTTCTATGGTATAGTTTTTGAGTCAAAAAGGGAAAGTAAGTCTGGAAATAGAAGCCAGAGTTCCATAAGTGAAATACATTTTTTCTCTTAACAATTTCAGACATAAGAGGAAATCTCTCTGGTATAGCATACCTCTTCTGGGATAAGCAAGTCACTGGAAGACCTGTTGCAACCACTAGCAGGCTGGGAAGTCCAGCAACAGTAGAGGCCCATCTGTGGTTTATGGCTTACAATAGTAAGACACAGACTATCTGTAATGCTTAGTTTAATAAATTGCAATTAAGCAAATCATTGCTTAGTGGTTTTATGACACTGCCCTGAGTGAAATGAAGGAAACCAAACCTAACTCTACATCCTTCCTTAGTCTAACCTTCTGATTCTCATTATCAGGTTGGTCTGTATTCTTCAATTCTGACTCAGAAGTTTAACTAGGTACCTGGAACATCTAGCACAATTAGGAGGCTGGTCGGATGCTTCCATATTCTTCAGTGTTGCAAGATGTCGGGATATGTCTTCCAGGAGTCCATCCAGGTCTGCCCGGACTTGAGTGAGAGATGCTGATGCCCGCTTTGCCCTGGCATAAAAGAAAGGGAAGACAGCAGCTGTAAGTGAAACGGCAAATTTCCACAATTTCCAAATTCATAGCCCTATAACAGCTCAATTTTGCCTGCAACATAGAACAATAGATTTTCTTATCTGTGGAGCATGTCTTGAAATTGGAGCGATCTCATTTTACACAGTCCAATTAGGTTGACTGAAGAATGGTGACTTCCTGGTTTGGGGTATTTGTGTTCCAGGAGAAGCTGCACACTCCCTGTTCCTCTGCATTTTATTCTCTCTTACTCTTCATTACAATGGGGGAAGTGGGGGAGCTGGATGAGGGATTTCATCTGCAACTGGAGACTTGTAAAAATTATGCTGAAGGACTCCCACGCACCCTGTTTATTCCTAATCTGATGTTTGAATTTTTCTACCATCTGATATGTTTGAAGCAAAGAGAGGCAGAATTAAATGTACACTGTTACAGAAAAAAGACCTGCTGAGAAAAAAGGCAGAGAGAAGGGATCATAGGCAGATTAATGAAGCTTGTCCTTGGAAGATCCACAAACATTAGAAAGCTTCACTTTTTAAAAGAAAAAATACAGTAATCAGTTACAAGGGAAACAAGGCACTAACTAATAATATACTAATATTCCCTACAGATGTGTAGGCTATAATACTGCATCAATACAAAATGAGGATCATGGAACTTGTAGTAAACTTTCCTAAACCACACCTCTATGGGGGGAAAACCCTAATATAAATATGTAGGGAGTAAACCCGATCACTACAAAGACTTGCTATCATTATCTAATAATAGACCTCTAGCTGAACTGGAAAGATTAACTCTAAGAAACAGTAATTAATGGTTTGTTCTTGCCTACATCATCTCTTAAATCTGGTCCTTCTTTCACTAGGAATAAGAGGCCCAAACTCAGAAGGACCTAAGAGAACTGGAGATTGGAGGAGAGACATGGCTGTCCAGCTTCAAGGGAGCCTCTTTGCTCAAAAAAAGGCACATACGCAGCAGAGACTTCATCCAGTTCTTCCTTCAGCATCCTAAGCTCCTGGCCTTGTTCCACTTGTACCCTTTCCCTCTGGGGAAGCACTCCCTCCAAGCACAGCCCCAGCTGGGCCAATAGTCGCAACACCTCCTTCTGGGCCAACTCCAGCATGCATTTCCTAAAGTGAGATGTGATAGAAAGAGACCAGTTGGAGGATATCTTGTTGCCTCTGTCAAAATAAAGGCTCCTCCCCTCCCATTCCCTCTTCAGAGAGGTACCAAGAGAGCAGCAGTGCACTACTGGAGTTCCCTCTCCCCAAAGATAAGCAACTTTGGGGATGTTGCCATCATGCTACTAATCAAGTACAAAACTTGTTTGGAAACCCCACTCGCCATCCCCTGGTCCACCAATTGAGGCCTTACCAACGAAAGTCTTCTATTTGAACCTGTTGCTGTAAGTTACAGAGTTTCTCCTAAACAGAGTGGAGGAAGTAACAGAGACAAAATAAGATTAATTTGGGATATTGAGTATATTTATGTGCTGCTCTCTTTTCCAATTAGCATGCTGATATAGTAAAACGTTTTATTAGAGTTCAAATCCACAAAGAAAGTAACAGGGAGCAACAGAGGTAACAAAATATCTTGGCATCCTCCAGATGTTATAGATCACAATGCTCTTAATTCCCAACCATATAGCTGGACTAGCTAGGCACTCCAGTTGTAGTAGTCCAATACATCTGGAGAATGCCAGCCTGGGAAAGGCTAACATAGAACAAAGTTATTCTTGCTGGCGGTTATGTGTATGTGTGCGTGTCTCAATTACTTTAATTTCCCTTGGGAGCATCTGGCGGGGCAGGAGTCAAAGAAGTCAACATGGCAGTTGTGATCACTTGATTAAATCCTGTCCATTTTGTTACATGCATTGCAACAAGCTTAAAACTGGACCAGGACTCCAATTAGGTGATTCCAACTATCTTATTTAACAAGCTGATTTGTTTCTTCATTTCCTTTCCTTCCTGCCCAATGGGCTGCTTGGAACAATTGGTCACCTTGGCTTGGCTTGGCTGCAGATGTGGTACACAATTGGGCTAAAACAAGAGGAGGAACATATTGTTCATCTGAAAAATATCCTTCACCTCAAAGTGAACCTGTAGAAAACACAACTCAGCAAATCCTCAGAAGGATGCAGTCTTGTGTTGCTTTCTTTTTGAGTGTTGGTGATGAAATCCAAATAATTCCAAACTTTTTGAATTTAATAAGAGGCTAAATGAAACGGATAAACTGCAGGATCACTTAGGGAATTTAAAACAAGGGACCGTTCTTCTTCCAGAAATCCAAGGATGGGCAAAATGGAGAATTTGCACTACTCTTTCCTCCTCTTCCTCTTATTCCCCCTTTTATTAGGAGTCTACAGAGGACAGCAACTAATTGAATGTGGCTGTCTTGACACTTAACCATATAATACTCAGATAACCCACCAGGAAATGATATGACCATAGATAACTCTGGTGATTAATTGGATTACCACCCCAACTTTGAATGAGAAACTCTAGCTGGCAAGCTGACTTCTAACTCTTCTGGTTCCTTCCAGTGCTATTCCTTTCAGGGGACTTGGCTAAGAGAGGAAGGGACTGGCCCAAAGACCCCCCACTCCCTCCCTCTCTCAGCCCAGCCTCCCCAAAGGGATATGGTTGGAAGAAACCAACCATGTGTGTGTCTATAAGTGAGGACAGGACTAGAGCCAGTGTCCCTTCAGTGCCAGTCCAAAATTAATCCCTACACAATACTGGTGAGACTTTAAAAGCAAAATCTCAGAAAAAATAACAACAAACCATTTTCATATTGCTGTAAACTAAACTATACCACAAGAAATGAGGGTGCTTATTTTTCTTGTGCGCAGCTCCCTTCTCCAAATTTTCCAACTATCATCTTGTGCATAGGTGAGCCTGGGAGAGCTTTGATAATTGATAGAGGACCTGAATTATAATCTCCTTAATTCCTAGTAGGGAATGGTTTTCTTCTGCTAAAAGGTTCATGCTTTGCGTTTTTTTAATTGAAAGAGAATCCCTTGATAAAAATGTAAAAAGGTAAAAGCAAAAATGGGTATCCTCTCTCTCTCTCACCTGCAAGTAGGCTGAGTTTTCTTCCAGAACGCTGGTCTTAATTTCAGCATCCTCCACAGATTTTGTCACCTTTCGGCAGCTTTCCTTCAAGAAATTTCAGGAGAGGGAAAAAAAACTCAGGTGGCAAAAGCAAGCAAAACAGGCAACAAGCAAGCAAAAGGAATGAGCTAATATGGATTTGCATTCAATGCTGTGCATCTCCTTTTCTATAAAAGTTTTTTCAATAAATTGGGGCAAGGAGGAAATTGAAAATTCTCCCATTTCTTTCTCTTTTTTAAAAATGATAAATCTAATCACTTGAACGTCTAGTAAAGGAGGAGTTCAATATCCATTTCATTACAGCATTGGAAACAAACACAGCACCTCAGTAACTCTCTCCCACATACATCCAAATCTCCACTCCCAGGGATTTTCTTTTTTAAGGAAAACTATTTTAATATTCACAATTGTCCCTGTCATTTCACTGAATACATAATAAAAGCAAAAACAAATATTTAATTCTGCTTCGGCAATTCTAAAGCAAGCATTGTACCTGATGCCTAGTGTGCCCTGAGCTATCTGGCACCATTTGCCCATTTTCCATATACTGTTTTCTTCTAGAGAAAAAATGAACTTGGCAAGGGCGGATCCGCTTCAACCATCTGGTTCTGCAAGGCTTATCTTAACTGTCTTACAATGGAGCAATGCCCTTTTATAAAGAATATCATATTATGATCAAACTTGCATTGATCCAAGTTATCTGATGAATCACCTCGTCCAGTTAGGACAAGCCCATTCTACTAGATGACTCAGGGGCTAAGACGCCAAGCTTGTCAATCAGGAAGGTTGGCTGTTTAGTGGTTCGAATCCCTAGTATAAGTCTCCTGCGTGAGCAGGGAGTTGGACTAGATGACTTCCAAAGTCCCTTCCAATTCTGTCACTGTTACTTATACTGGCATGAGGGCCTACTTCAGAAGTCATCTGTCAAAGAACTCTGACTATCAGGATCAGAAAAAGAGTCTTATCTGCCACAGCACCCATCCTTTGGAACATCTTATTGTCTAGGGCAGGGATATCAAACTCAATTTCATTGAGGGCCACATCAGGGTTGTTTTTGACCTCAGGGGGCTGGGGGAGGGGGTCATGGCCAAGGTGAGCATGGCCAGCTGAATGTCACTCATGTGGGGAGCACCTGTGGTGGCCAAGTGCTAAGGAAGGACTTCCCTGAGACCCTCCCTCACTTTCATTATAATCTCCTTCCTTCCTTCATCATTTTCCTTCCCTCTTCATTCTCCTTTCTTCTTCCTTCTCCTCTTTCCTTCTTCCTTCTTTGCTCTCTTCCTATCTTTCCTTCTTTTCTTTTTTCTTTTTCTTTTTCTTTGTATTTCCTCTTTTCCTTTCTCCTTTCCTGTCCCTTCTTGCATGCTCAAATGCAAAAGAGCAAACATTTCTCCTTTTGTTTTGTTTTTAGTTTTTTTTGCTAGCCTTCTGCCAGCAAAAATGGAGCTCAGGGGGGCTACACGCAGCCTCCCCAGGCCGTTTTTGGCTGTAAACAGGGGCTGTTTTCACTGGCAGAAGGCTGCAAGAGGCCGTCACAACCAAAAACAGGGTCCATCATGGCTGAAAACAGAGCTTCATTTTCACTAGCATGGACCAGACTTTTGCTGTTTCCAGGGCAGCCTCACAGGCCAGATCTAAGCACTCCACGGGCCGCCCACAGGTCTTGAGTTTGACACCCCTGGTCTAGGGTAAGATCTATCCCCAGCTTCCGATTCTTTCATAAGAGCTTGAAGACCTGATCTGCCAGTTGGCCTTGGGACCAAATGAGGGAAATTCCACCCTGGAGGTGGTTGCTGAATTGATGGCAGACTCCCCCCTCCCCTCCCTGTGTCTCTCTGCTCTCCACCCACCCATCTTTTTGGTTATCATATTGATAACCTTGTATTCTCTTGTGCTCCTTTTTCATTGTTTATTGTATGAGTTCTATTATTTTACTTCTGTTCTATTTACAGTCTTTTCATTTTTATTACTGTAAACCGCCTAGAGTAGCACCACAGCAGAGAAGCAGCAAATAAATTTAACAACTAACAAACAAATAAATAAAATAATCATTGTATGTAGATGCAATAGCTCTGTGACAATGCCTGTAGTGTAGACTGTCAGAACCAGGAGGGGGACAAATAGACTCAGACTGAACCCAACCAAGATGATGTTAATTCAAAAGTCAAGGAATCTTCCTTGACCTACAGCTCCTGTTGTAAGATAGGTCACGAAGGTTTTTGCCTTGAGAAAAGAAGTGCCTGCAAATTGGCTTGGGACAATTATATTTGGTTTGTGGATAATTGTGTTATGACTATATATGAATTATAATTGTATTTGCTTATAATGTTTTAATTGTATGCTTATTCCAATGGATTAAACAGTAGAAAACCCAGAGTGTGATCTCGCAGTGCTCCAGGTTGGTCTCTGAAAGCCTGACAGATTTTACATAGAAAACCAGATCACCATTAGAATTCTTTCTCATTCTGCCTAAACAAGCAGCTGTGAGCTTGACCAAAGTTTGGAGCAGGGTCTGACAGGAGTCTAGTTGGGTAAATGCAAGGCCGTATCTTATACATCCAAAGCTGAATTGTTGTCAGAATTTGCTCCCACACTGCTTGGACATCAGCAACCAGGTTTTCCAAGCAGAGCTCAAAAAGTAAAGCCAACAAAAGAGGCAAAATTAAATCTGATTTCATAAGATGGACAGAATTTAGCCTCTCCTCCCTCAAATTGGTCAAGTGAGTCAGATTGAAGCATTCTTGCATTGGTAGCCTTGGGAAAGAGACTAATTCCATTCTATATTCCTGAGTATAGAAGCAGAACGAGAATTGTGAACCTGAGAGTCTAAAATTTCAGGTATGTAGTAGCCTATACAAATAACCTACAGCCTCCAGACCTGCAGATTCTGAAGATGGTGGGTGACCTTGGATGTCTTCTCTTTGAGGCTGGTGATAGAATCCTTGGCTCGTAAGAGGCCACTATTACTCACTTCCTGCTGGGAGAGAATGTAAGAGGGAACTGATCAAGCAAATCATAACCCACTTACTTCTGACTAATACACACTTCCAGACATTTATTTCAGTCTCAATGGTTTTAAAATGGAGAGGGGGCAGCTGTCAGGTATGAACCACCACATCCACATATATAGTGTTCAAACTATTTTATTGTTCTATGTCTATTTCACAGGAATTTTCCCAGACTGCAGTTTTGTATGGGAAAGACAAGGCTCAAAGCATGGAGGGGTGAGTGGATGTTAGACCTTGCCTCTTGTGTTTATATAATGAGTCCAAGCGAATTCCCTGCTTTACCCCTTCTCCCAACCGGGACAGTTGCTTAACAGCATCATCTGAAAAACATTCTCTATATCTTAAGAGACTTAAGATGGGTCTTTTAGGGATCTAAAAGTTCATTACTGATACTTAGAATATTTCAGTGATACAACTGCCAATAAAATAGAAATTAAGTGTGTATGTACAATATACTTTTCATACCCCGGGGGGTGGGGGGGGAGTTCAAGGCAAAGGGGACAAAGAAATATTTGGAAAAATATAAAAGGCCATGCTTGGGTGTAGAAAGTAAATGAAGAAAAGGGAATGGCACAAAGAGATCAATATAGAAATAGGACTGCAGAAGAATAAAATCTTCAAGAAAAGTATATTTTCAGGAAAAATATACAAATACACTGTTAAATTCAGGATTGGTAAGAACATGAAGTTAACAACAAATTTTTAAAAAAAACTAAAATAAACGTTCAAATTGTTTGCCCAAACAATCCCAACATAAAGAAATAGGAATTATTTCCTAGAATTTTGTAGGAGGCCCACAAATTGAATTATTTTCTACAAATACAGGGTTATGATCCTCTAGCTCTTGAATCAATTGCAACCTCTGACCAGACATCCAAGACACCCTCAGAAGCATTCCTGAATTTGCAAAAGCATCAGTAAGGGATTCTTTGTTTGGCTTAAACCTTGATTGTTACATATTAATACCAATTTAATTTTCCTCTGAATATGAAGCTGGAAGAGAGAATAGAAGATATAGACAAAACTAGACGTTCCAACAGGATTGACTCTTTCTGTTCACTAAGGAAAGATGAGAGACTTGGAAGTAACATCATTTGAAGTGGAATATGGACTGAAAAGATATATAGACTCAAAGCCCATCAAGAATACAAACCTTTGAAGGAAAACCTTAAAAGGAGTTTTATCACCTGAAAAACAACTTTATTATGGCATAAAAGTAGCTCTAGAGACCTAATCAAGTTATTTTTTAAAATGTCATAGATTCTTTTTGGGGGAGTGGGAGGAATAAATATTTTTTATTTGTCTATTATTAGAACAATGTTTCAGGGATGGATGCTTAATTGACAAAGCAGCACAAGGTATGTGTGACTGTGACTCATTGCCTCACCTGCTGGCTGGAAGTATCATCTTCATCTTCTGACCAAGCTGGCTTGATGGGAAATAGAAGATCCCGCCTTTCACCCCCTGCTCCTCCTGGTGGACCCCCATCATCTGTGGATTCATTCTCCGTGGTGGAATCATCACGTTCCCCATCAGTTAGATTCAGAAGAGAAACATTAGTGCAAGCAGAAGAACGCTTCAAATTCAGATTGGGACTTTCACTGGTAAAATGGGGTTCAACTCTGGATTGGGAAAAAGTATATTCATTATCCTTAGATATAGTACTAGACTACTTTATTTCTTACATAATATAGAAGAGTGATAGCAATAGCACTTAAGACTTATATACCATTTTACAGTGCTTTACAGCCCTCTCTAAGCAGTTTACAAAATCAGCATATTGCCCCCAACCATTTGGGTCCTCATTTTACCCACCTCAGAACGATGGAAGACTGAGTCAACCTTGAGCATGTTGAGATTTGAACTGCCAAATTGCAAGCAGTCAGCAGTCAGCAAAAGTAGCCTGCAGTACTGCCCACTAACCACTGCACCACTGTGGCTCAGATAGGTACCACAAAGGACTTTCTGATGCTTTGATGCTAACATATTTTTTTGGCAAACTAAGATTTTGGGATTACTGTATAGAAATCCCACAAAATTATACTGAAAATTCTGAGAACTGAAGTCCAACATGTTGGTAGGCATCTGGTCTTAGTTCGTTATTACATCATTTATATTCCACCCCCAAGCCTAACAAAATTTTGGTGACTCACATAAAATCCTAGCCATCTCTCCAATAAATTGCAATAGCAGAACAGGGAGCAGACTGTTCCAGGAGATAGATAGAGCAACAGTAAAAAATGTTCCCATTCCCTAACTTCTTGAAGTGGGACAGAATCCTAAGAAATAGCACAGCACTTATTTGAAGAAGGTCAGTCCTAAAGTAGCACACTCTAAATCATGGAAGGCTTTAGCCTTCAGCATTTTATACAAGGAAATTTGTTAATTAATGCAGAGACCACAACATAATGCTGCCCTGCTGATCTCAGCTCGATCTCAGCTTGAAAGTTGTGAGCGCCAACTATAGTTTTAGGTAATCTTCAAAGGTAGTATGATATTCCAACACATTGGAATAAACAGGTAATGAGAATAAGAGGGACTATTGCCAATGTCTTCCACTCTCAAGGGACACAACAGAAAACAAGGCAACACTTGGAAAAAGGCTTTCCTGATAATAGAATTCACCTGCTAATCTTAACTCTGTCAAGGAATGTGAACCTCTCTAAAACCAACACTGTGGCACAAAATAAGACCAATTGTTTCTGAACAAGCAATAACATCTTCTTGCTATGATTCGGTTTAACGTTATTTCTTGCCATCCCATTCAGTCTCTCAATTTTCACACACTGCATGAGGATCTCTCCTCTGCATTTTCTGCTCTGTTAAGGCTTCAAAGTTTGGTATAGTAACTCTCCCTTCAAACTAACAAATGACCTCTCCCAGTGGTTTCATTTAAATAATAAACAGCAGAGAAAAAAAGAATCAAATCTTGGGACATTGTATGTTCAAGTGTCCCAAGGTCTCACTTTACTTCTCTTGCTATTACCAAATATAACCAACCACTCGGTTATGAAAGAATGGAACCACTGCAGAATAAGGCCACCCACCCATCCACTTGCGCGCGCGCGCACACACACACACACACACACCTCTTAGATAGTCCAGAAGAGTATCACAATCAGTGGTACAAAACTTTACTGAGAAGTCTAAATGAACAAGGACATGGCCCAGGCATCCCACAAGAGCAACTGAAAGAGTTTCTGTAGCACAGCCAGATCTGAGAAAACTGGAACGAAAGAGATCAAACTATACACTTTATCCAGTATTGTCTGCAACTGACACCCCACTATTTTCTTCAAGATCTTCCTGAAAAAAAGAAAGTCTGGAGACCTGACAGAAGGTATCCAACACAAGCAGATCATGAGCCATCTTCTTCAGGCTATGGAGGATACCACTTCCTTTCTTAAGGAAGCAGAAGCATTAACTTCCTCTCAAATATGACCACAAATACATGCATATAGAGGAGCTAGCTGAACATGAATTCAAATTGCTGATGGCAAAATGAATGTCACGGAGAACCCCGTCTGCTACTCAAAGTTCACAAGATCAAATCAAGCCCCAAAAGACCTTTTCAGATGTTGTCCCTGCCACTGTATTGGATTCTGCCCCTAAGAAGTCTAAGTTAGTTCGAAGTCTTTAGGAAAAGCTACGTCTATGAAAAGTCATCCGAAGAAATAAATCAAACAAATACAAAGCCAGGATTCTTGAAATCTCAGTGACAACCATATTAAGGTGCAATTTCTTATCTAGTTGAACACATATGTCTTATTTAAGAAAGCAATATTAAGATCAATGTACATAGAAGCCCTGGATATTTATCCAGCACTATCTTTGGAACCAGAAGATGAAGAAGAGAACAGGAAGGATTTTTTCCCATTTGCTTGGGCTGGAATCAGAAATAAGTCTCTAGAAAGCACCAGGGTGGATTTGATTTAAATCGAGTTGATTTAAATCACAATTTAAATCATGATTTAAATCACTAGTAAAAAGGCTTGATTTAAATCAACTGGATTTAAATCATAATTTTTAAAGAGCAACTGTCATCCCTGCTACTCCTTTGACCCACTGTTGACTCACCGATAGTCCCAGTGTTGCAGAATATACAGCCTCATGCTACATAACTAAGCTCCATTTCATGCTTAATAAACTAAATTATTTATGTATCTTAAATAGAAAACTATCTTACGATAGATTTTCACCTCAAAAGATTTTTATTAAAATAAATTCACTAAAAATCAAAAAAATCCCATTTAAATCAAAACAATCCCATTTAAATCAAAAAAATCTGATTTTTTTGTTTTTTTTAAAAAAAAATCATTGATTTTTATCCACCTGGAAAGCACAGGGAGACAGCAAAGATTTGTATATTTTCCCCAAAAAGTAAACTGAGAGTGTGAATTCATGGGTTTAAATCCAGGCAATGTATGCAGAAGAAGGGCTGACTGACTTTTGAGATATGAGCAATGGCTCTGCAGGTTGTTAGAACCAGTGCTGTGGAGTCAGAGTCGGAGTCGGAGTCGAGGAGTCGGAGTCGGAGTCAATTTTGGGTACCTGGAGTTGGAGTCGGAAGTACAAAAACTGAGGAGTTGGAGTCGGAGTCGGAGTCGGAACATTTATCTCCCGACTCCATAGCCCTGACAGTGCTGTGGAGTCGGAGTCAAGGAGTCGGAGTCGGAGGAAATTTTGGGTACCTGGAGTCGGAGTCGGAGTCGGAAGTACAAAAAACTGAGGAGTCGGAGTCGGAACATTTATCTCCCGACTCCACAACCCTGGTTAGAACCCCAAACCTGAACAAGCTAGAAACAAGCCAGTGGTGGTGTGAGATGCTCTCCTAAGCCTGGGTTAATAGCAATAACCACTATTGCAGTACCTGCTTTAGATCAGATGAGATCCACTGCCCACTTAGCCTAGTGTTGGACTACATTCATTCATCATTCTCAGCCAGTTTGACTCTACAGGCTAAAAATTCTTGGAGTTATAGCCAACAAAGCTGGGATCTGAGGGCAGCAATTTTCCATGATCTGAAGGAGAAAATTTGTGTGTGTGTGTGCATCTTCTACTACCAGAGGCCTTTTTACCTGGAGATGCCATAGACTGAATCTGAAACCTTCTGAACACAAAGCAGATGTGCTACTGTGCATCCTGTTTCCTATATGGTTTCACATGCTGCAGGTAATGAATTCTACCTCCACCCTTTACCTTCCCAGGTGACCCACCCATGGAAAGAGACGGCTTTCTTCTTTTTGGGGAAGCCTTTGATGCTAGTAGGCTTTCCCAGCTGATCCTTGGTGCCCTGAGCCCGACTCTCAATCCCTATTGGCGTGTCTCCAGCCTCATTTATTTCTTTGGACTGCCAGATGGTCTTCACCACAATGTTGGCCATTATAGGCTGGGTCGATATCTAATATGAGCACAAATTTTCTTGCCTGCACCACACCAGGAAACATCTATTACCACAAGCCAACTGGCTTTCTAGGTAGGGCAGGAATCTTCCAGATGCTTTCATGACCTCACAACAGTTGCCATGGAGTTGGCAATCACAATCTTTCATCCACCATTGTACCACCAACAATCAGCACAGTCTTCAATGAAAAGAAAAGTAATTCAAATAATTCTTTCCTAATTTGAAAGAATTGCATGGATTAAGCTGAAGAAATATATTGAACTGCTAATCACCTTTTTCTTTTTATACCTTTTTATACCTTGCCCAGGTTAGCTATGGTTTGTTAGATTTCTACAAATCAGAGTTAAACAATCAACCAGATTTACATATCACACACAAATTTATTTATTTATTTAATTAATTAAATTTCTATACCGCCCTTCTCCCGAAGGACTCAGGGTGGTGTACAGCCAGAAATAAAACCATGACAACAGAAAAATTAAAAACAAATTAAAACAATTAAATCAATTGGCCGAAAATTCTACTAAAACAACCCATTAAAATAGTAAAAATATTATTATTATTTAGGCCAGCCCTGCTTGTTGGAATAGTAATGTTTTTAGGGCACGGCGAAAGGGCACGCAGATCGGTAATCCTATGAATCTCCGGGGGCAACTCATTCCAGAGGGTAGGGCCCCCCACAGAGAATGCTCTCCCCCTGGGGGTCGTCAGCCGGCATTGTCTAGCTGACGGCACCCGGAGGAGCCCCTCTCTGTGGGAGTGTACCGGTCGATGGGAGGCTATCGGTGGCAGAAGGCGGTCTCCTAGATACCCAGGGCCCATGCCATGGAGCGCTTTAAAGGTGGCAACCAACACCTTGAATCGCACCCGGAAGACCACCGGGAGCCAGTGCAGCTCACGCAGGAGCAGTGTTACATGGGAGCGTTGGGTCGCTCCCATAATTACCTGCGCGGCCGCATTCTGGACCAGTTGGAGCCTCTGGGTGCTCTTCAAGGGGAGCCCCATGTAGAGAGCATTACAATAGTCCAGAAGGGAAGTGACGAGGGCGTGAGTGACTGTGCATAAGGAGTCCCGATCCAGAAAGGGACGCAACTGGTAAATCAGGCGAACCTGATAAAAAGCCCCCTGGGCTACAGCCGTCAGGTGGTCTTCCAGGGACAGCTGCGAGTCCAGGAGGACACCCAAGTTGCGAGCCCTCTCTGAGGGGGTCAAGATCTCACTCCCAATAGTCAGTGATGGAGTCAACTGACTATGATGGGACGCCAGAAACCACAGCCACTCGGTCTTGGAAGGGTTACGTCTGAGCTTGTTCCTCCCCATCCAGATTCGTACAGCTTCCAGGCACTGGGACATCACTTCAAGGGCATCATTGGGGTGGAAATGTACAGCTGAGTATCATCAGCGTGCTGATGGAAATCCACCCCGAAGCCACAGATGATCTCGCCCAGCGGCTTCACATAAATGTTGAACAGGAGGGGTGAGAGGACCGACCCCTGTGGCACCCCACAGACTAGGCGCCTTGGGGTCAACCTCTGCCCCCTGCCAACACAGACTGCGTACGGCCAGAGAGGAAGAAGGCGAACCACCGCATAACGGTGCCCCCCACTCCTAAACTCTCCAGCCGGCGCAGCATGATACCATGGTTGATGGTATCAAAAGCCGCTGAGAGATCTAACAGGACCAGGAAAGAGGAACAACCCCTGTCCTGAGCCCTCCAGAGATCATCGACCAATGCGACCAATGCCGTTTCCGTGCTATACCCAGGCCTGAAACCTGACTGGAACTGATCCAGATAATCATCATCATCCATAATGATCATCATCATTATGCATCAAAGTTCACACCAAGTAATAACTCAAAACCAAATAAACTATATTACCAGTATGATTTAGATACGTAAACCCATACATTATATAAAATTTTAAAGCAATATATTTCAATGGAAATAATTATGATTATTGAGATCCTTTCTACTTTCTATTTCTTCCGTATCTTTCAGAAGTATAACATCTGAAGAAGTCTACAAAGATAGTGTATCATTTGCTGTATATTTTCTATATCAACATGAAACTTTGTTTCCAGTCCTCTGGCAGTAACTCAAAAGTAATTACAAAGAGAATTTAGGAAGTAAACTTTAAGGTCATACTTGACTGCACTGCTTGCAACTGGGATTCAATAAAAAAAATTATAAACTGCATCCAATTGATTGTCAGCATTTGTCAGTACTGTAAACCATGTTGGACTTAAAAGTCACAGCAAAGACTCCAGGTTGAGCTGAAGATGAAATGACATTATTGGATGTTACCAAATGATAATATCCAAAGTATTATTTGAAAAAGTTATTTATGAAGTGAAACACATAACTCATGAACTATTGAAGACACCTGATTGATTGCTCAGTGGGCTGGTTCAAATGCAACAGTATTAAAGACTAGTACAGGTAGTCCTCATGACCACAATTGAGCCCAAAATTTCTGTTGTTAAGAGAGACATTTGTTAAGTGAGTTTTATTCCATTTTACAACCTTTCTTGACAGTTGTTAAGTGAAGCACAGTTCTTAAGTTAGTAACGCAGTTTTTAAGGGAATCTGGCTTTCCCATGGATGCTGCTTGTCAGAAGGTCACAAAAAGTGATCTCATCACCCCAGGGACACTGAAACCATCATAAATATGAGTCAGTTGCAAAGCATCTGAAATTTGATCATATGACCATGGGAATACTCCAATGGTCATAAGTGTGAAAAATGGTCATAAGACACTTTTTCCAGTACTGTTATAACTTTGAACGGTCACTAAATGAACTGTTGTAAGTCGAGGACTACCTGTATTGCTCTACAGTAAATCAAAGAAAAAAATTCATATTTCTTTTGATCAATATGAAGTGTTGACTAACCACAATAGTTTAGTCGATGTTATGCTTAACCACCTGAATATACCCAACTGAGTGGGTTCACATTCCACAATCAACTGACCTGATATCAAGTTATTCTTTCTCAACTCAAACCTATTTAGGATTGTTGCATTGGTCTTAAAATGAGAAGACAGCTCCAGATATGCCAATTTGAACTCCCAAAGAAAAGGCAGGATACGAATGCAATAAATATATTCATTGGCTAGTTTCCACATAACATGAAACCATAATCTGATAAATGAAAATCCACCTATACCTTAGCATAATATACATACCATACCATTATGATATGTCAAACAAAGCTTTAACATTTCCCCTTAGTGTTATGCATTAATCAAACTATTTCAGGCAGTTTTCGAAGCTGTATTCAGGTAACTTAAAGGCATCCATGTACCAAATAAGCTAAGCCACAGGTTTCCATGCACCACCATAAAAACAACACTCACACCTTCAATTTCCTTAGACCCCGCACATCCTGGACATAAACTGTTTCAACTCCTACCCTCACAACGACACTATATAGAGCACTGCACACCACAACAACTAGACACACGAACAGTTTTTCCCCGAACGCCATCACTCTGCTGAATAAATAATTCCCTCAACACTGTCAAACTAGCTACTAAGTCTGCACTACTATTAATCTTCTCATCGTTCCTATCACCCATCTCCTCCCACTTGTAACTATATGACTGTAACCTTGTTGCTTGTATCTTTATGGTTTATATTGACTGTTTCCTAATATGATTTGATTGCTTATTTGTATCCCATGACTATCATTAAGTGTTGTATCTTATGATTCTTGACGAATGTATGTTTTATTTATGTACGCTGAGAGCGTATGCACCAAGACAAATTCCTTGTGTGTCCAATCACAGTTGGCCAATAAAGAACTCCTATTCTATTCTATTCTATTCTATTCTATTCTATTCTATTCTATTCTATTCTATTCTAGTTCCTACACTCATACACGCCTACATTCATGAACAGGCGGGTCAAATGATTTATTAAAAGTATTACAGGAAAAATATTTCTCCAAAAATATTGGGAAAAATGAATGGGAAAGCAAAGGAAGCAGAAATGTAAACGCTGGAGAATATGTAACATTGTGGCCCATCTAAAAAAAACGGAATATACCTGTGGTTTTAGTCCTAATGAAGTAAGAGTTTTTTTTTCCCCAAGGAAAGCAGCTCGGTTCCCAGGCCTCTCTCCTCCGCAGCCTTTCTTTTGCCGCCGTTCCACCGCCAGCCTTTTTCGGCCAATAAACCAGGGACTTGGGCTCGGAGGACGTGGCCTTCTCGCCCAATAACAGCTTCCAAAAACTCTTCCCCGCCCAGCAGCGAGCCGAGATTCAGCTTTGCTGATTTCGCAAGAACCATCACTCAAGCTGAAGAGGAAATGGGCGGGGCAGCCTTTGACTGACATTTCTTAAAACCTATCAAGATATTCAAACCGAAGGGGCACAGCGGGAGGCCGGCTTAGGTGGGCTTCTTGTGAACCTACGTCCAATGGAAAATGCAGAGCCGTAGAGGGGACTTATTTGACATTAAGATTCACCGGATCCAATAGGGAGAAGAGCAGGCGGGATTTAAACCTACCGACCAATCCTTTAGAAAGCTGGATCATTTCTGTCAATAGAAAGCACCGCGGGTTTGAAAAGCGGCGCCTCTGCCCAATAGGGAGTGAAAACGTTTCGTGACGGATGGAACGAAGGGCCAATCGGATATGTTTGGGTCGGTTCGGTGCAGCTGGGCCAGGTTCGGGCGCGGAACGGAGCATTGCCCTGGTCCCGATCCTCTATCGTCACCATGCCGGCCGTTTCCAAGGGAGACGGGATGCGGGGCCTGGCCGTATTTATCTCCGATATCCGAAACTGTAAGTGATTGCGACTATGGGGAAGACAGGCGGGCAGAGGGGGATCCTTCAGAACCGAATGAATCCTGTAAATGCTCGGGGAGGGAGGGAGGGGGGGGGGCTTTGGACCTTGGGGAGAATTCGGGCGGGTGGAAGCGGCCTGTGATTGTGCTCGGCGGCGGCGGCAGAGTTAAGTGGGGGGTTTAGTGGGGTTGTGTGTGGGGGCGGAGGGGGCTCAGTCGACTGAAGGCGAAAGACTTGAACCCCGGGGAGAGACGGTTGCTGCCCGATCGTCTGCTCAGTGGGGCTTCGGAAAAGAGAAAGCAGGTAGGCTGAGGAGGAGGCCACCTAATGTCAGGAGAAGGGCGAGGCTGCCCCAATCGCCAGACATGCCCGCCGTTCGGATAGGCAGAGGCCTGTCAGTCACTGGAGGAGGACACAAGTTGGGTAAAGATGGCACAGGCAGCGGGGATGTAGGTTAACTGAAGGCGTGTGAACGTGGATATCGTTCAACTTGGGATTTGTGTCTGATGTGGCTATTTTGCTTAATCCGGATTTAAAAAAAAAAAAAATTAAAGAGGGCGGTGGGGAGAGAAGTGGAAAAGTTGCTTAGCGGGGTGGAAATTGGGGGTCGTGGCCATTATAGGGGAACCGGAGTGGTGGAGAATAAGAAAAGGATTCCGAGATTTGCTTAGGGATAAGGTTCCATCCCTCCCACTTCCTGCTGCCCCCATCCAAAGATACTGCCTGGAGGTAGACAGCTGTCATATGACAGATGGATAAATACAGTATGCTTGCTAACTGCAATAGGCTAGGGCTTGCTTTTGTAAATTTGGGGGAAGATTGTATGCATTGGGCAGTCTGTGTGTGGTGACTTAAAAAAAAGAGCTCTTTTTTTATTTATTTATTTAATTTGGCTCTTGGGCCTTTGCAGAAGGCCTTGATTGTAGACTCACTATATTTGATACAAAAGTCCTTGAAATTACTTCTCTGTACAGTATTTCTTGTTGCTAGTCATCTGGATTTTTGCAGCCTAAAATATAAGCCTTATTGCAGGGATGTTGCTGCAAAATAAGGGGTTGCTATTTAGAATCTCCATAAGAGTAAGAAAGATTGAGGAATTCAGATTGTCCTAAGGAAAACAAGTGAAACCAGGGAAGGCTTCTAATCACTATAAATTGTCAGCTTTTCTATGGCATTCATGTCCCATTAATATCAATTTGAAACTGGAGATGTTTTAATTGTCATTGAAGTCAAATGGGTGAGCCTGATGGAGCATAGTTAAGGCATATATTTCTAGCTTCCTTCAGTAATGCTGAAAAAAAGTATCCAATTACTGGCTTTGATAGCATGTATTCAGGCCCTTATTTTTCAGATATTCTTCTTTAGTCATGAAAAAAACTCTAATGATCAGGAGACCAAGAATGTTTCAGTATATTTTAAAATGTAGAGACTTTAAGTCAGATCTAGATTTTTTTTTTTTGTTTAGACTTTGGTATGGTTGTTTCATTGTGGCTGAATACTAATATTACATTTGTTTGATTCAATCTTTTTTTCCCTAGTTCCATCTCAGGAATCCTAATATTTGCTCAAACTCTTCCTTTTTTCAGCAAATGAAAAAGCATTTTGCAGTGTTACTTTTTGCAAGAGTAATACATGCAGTAAAGCTAAGTAGCAGTTGCTAGAGCAGTTTTCTGTAGAGTGGAATCAACAGAGCTCACACAATCTTTTTTAGGCTCTGACTGGCTGATTTTCCTCTAATCTAAATCATCCCTGCAGTTCAATGAAAAAGTCTAGATATAAGCATGATAACTCCACTATTCTGGAAAACATATTAACTGATTTGATTAGGTAGTTGTAATTATGTTGCAACAACTTCTATATACTGAAATTTCAGGGAAAGTCATTCTGTAGCCATGTGAATTGGCTTAGCACCAGCAGACCATATAAGCCAATTTGCTTGGAGGCAGAGGTTTTCCATTTGTGGGATTCTTGGCCCTAGTGCCACAGCAGCTAGCCTTTAATATCTCTAAAAATATTACCAGAAGAGACTATAACTCCATGGTGGTGGTAATGCACATTCTTTGCATGCAAAAGATTTTATGCCATTGAATTATTTGAAAGCTTCAACTAAAACAGGATTAGGCAATCTAATGGTCTTCAGATTTCAGGTGATAACTCCCATTACTCAAAGCCAGGAATTATGGGAGTTGTTGTGCAAACAACAAGGTTTTGAGGTTGCTCATAGGAGTGATTAAAATGGGTAAGAGCTTTTATCTGAAGAAGAAAAAAACATTACAGAGCAACGGTGCTTTAAAATAGTATAGTTTCTTCTGTACTAGGGATTGTGACACACTTCCAGAAAGGTATTGTCCTAAAACAGCCAAATTGGAAAGGAAGGTTCTGTGGCTTTAACAGTTGTGAGGAAGATGGTATTTTTGTTAGATGCAGCTTGTCATGCATAGACAACAAAAGCTGCTGCCACCAACATTTCTTTGTAAAAGCAGCAATTAAAAATGAAGAAGCCATGTCCTTCTTGTCCAATTCCCATCCTACGTTTCAGAAAATACCGGTACTCTGTTTATAAATAGTGTAGATTGGTGAATGAACAGGACCTGATGTTTTTTGCTGTTGTATAATCAGCAGAAATCAGCCATATATTTCCCAGGGCCTCAGGGTCCACATTTTAGGATGTTATGGGAGATCTTTGAATCGCTAAATGAGCAGAAATGGATGCTGGCACTTGTGGGAGTGGAGAGAAATTTCAATAGCGTACAGATCGGATTGATTTAGACTTTATTTAGCAATAGTAAATGAAGCAATAAGAAGCCAGGGAAGCATTGAGGAATATGTGGGAAGAGCTATGTTCAAAAAGTTAGACAAAAGGCTGCATCTTATGTTAAACACATTTTTTGGGTGGAGGGAGATGTAAGAGGCCTTCTAACAAAATTGCATGAGATCTGATAGCCACATAATTAAGGAATGTCAAATTTCAAACTTAGGACTTTCTGATGTGCAAGAAAGCATAACTATGATGAAATCCAGACTCTAAAAAACTTCTGTGAACTTCCTGTTGGATGAGCAGGATGTGATAAATACAGTAAACACATTTTTATAGATCTGATGGCCACTGATTCCTGTGGCATGGATTGTTTTAGATATGCATTCATACATTCTTTGATCTTCTTGTTAAGTGGAATCTGTTTCTAGATTTTATTGAATTCTAACTCAGATAAGCCTGACCATAACCTAATGGACAAGGATTATGGGAATTGTAATCCAACATGTTCTGGAATTTCCCCACTTCTGAATATAGTTGCATCTACCCAGAGAGATGAACAAAGAGCTCTTACATTGCCTGTTCTTAAGGAACTGCAATTCTTAAGCAAAGAAAAGTTGGCAGGCCTCAGATTTCCTCAACAGGGTGCTATAGGACAAAAGGAGAGACCCCTATGAGTGTGATTTTTGTTTGAACATCCCAGGAAGGAAGGAAGGAAAGAAAAAGTTTGAGGAAACAGAGCCTTTTCTTTTTAGAGGCTGATTTCCCTGCCTCAAGACAGGGAATAGAAGTAGTAGTGTTTGGATCATTTGCTTTTGGCAGGTTGAAGAAGGAAGCATGTGTTTTGAGTTCTAATGCCTTCTTTGGTCATCTTCCTTTTATCTTTGGAATATGCATGCCAGGAAATGGACAAAGAAATATGATAGCCTTGAAAATATCACTTCCATGGTATGATGTAAATAATAGCACCTACCTTGTGGTAACTCCAATCACATTGGCAGTTAATCTGAAGCTCAAGATGAGGGCTTGATGAAATAACATAGGAATAAACTCCAGGGTAATACATGCATGTATCTCATTATTCTTGTCCTTTGTATGAGTGGCTAATTCATTGTTAAATTATGATTTAAAGGAAGTTTATTTCTGGTTTGAATTGGCATTTTAGGACATAATTCTGTGATTGGAAGTCCAAGAAATAACCTTTTGAGGTGTGGGGTTTTTTTGCTTTCATTGAGAGAAGAATGAATGGGTTAAATATACTAGTACATTGTTTCACACTTAGAGGCAGATGGATCTACTTTAATTATATTTCTTAAATTATTATTTATCTCTTCTGAAGGAATTTGAGACATCTCAAATCAAATAATATTCCCTCTCATTTGCATCTTTCCTTTATTTTAGCACAACTTTCCCCACTATTAAACAGATCGTGCTGTACCTGTTGGTTGCATGGTGTTAAATAAGGAAACCTAATAGAAGAAATGGAAGAGAAGATATGACAATCCTAATTTAACAGAAAAGATATTGCTAGACTATTTAAAGCAAAGGGCTCAAAGCCCTTTACTTCCATTGCAGAATTTAGCAATTTAATTTTCTTCTATATTCATTTAAATAAAATCTAAAGGATATTATAGTCTATTATTGATGAATGAAATTGTTACCAGTCTCTACTGGCACCTGGGTTTATTAATATTGTACTTTTTAAATTAAAACAAAGGTACAGATGTGGCCTCCTACAGTCAATTTCTACGAATCAAGTAGCTAACTATGCTTCATGTACAAAGCAGCTCCTAGGAGCATTTATGCATACAAATCTATTTATTTATTGCAGCCCTCATCCTGCTGAGCTAACTTAATTGTGGAACACCTTCTGCCTTCCCTTAATCTCGTGGGAGCATTTACTCTCCTGGTTTGCTAGATGTAGATCTGTTTTCTCTGTCTTACATTACATACTTACTGTGTTGTAATGGTTTATGCAATCATCTGAGAATGGGTGCATTATCCATTGCTCTGTTGGACTGATGTCTGGGGCTTATCGTCTCAGAAAATACCAAGGGACTCTAAGATATAGAAAATGCACAACTGGGGAAAATTATTTTAATTGCGAAACTGCCCCTGGGCCTAGGGTGTGTACACACTAAGAATTTTCTCTGAATTTTATTATTTATTTATTATCCTTTTGTGCCTCCATAACATAATTTTTCTGCAGCAGCTTACCACACTCTAAAAAATATTATGAAAACAAATAAAATGATGAAAAATGTACAACATAAAAACAAAATAGTATGAGCATAAGATAAAGACTGCTTAAGAAAGTGTTGCAGTATAACATTTCAGATATGAATCACATGTATGAAAAAGAATTAAAATATCTTTGCCTTGGGCCAGAAGGATAGTAGGTACCAGGCTTCACTTACTGGGGAGCCAACCATAGCCTGGAACAACTACTGAGATTCACTGGAATCACTGTAGTGGACATCTGCTAATTGCAGATCAGCATGGCACTGGAGCAGGGCTTTTGAGCATAATCTTACTAGATGAGTTGGAATATATGGAAAGAAATTCCTTCAGGCACTGTCACAAACATCTGTAAATGTTTGTGTGAATAGAACACCAGCACTTTGAATTGGTACCAGAAACAAGTTATGCCATTCCTTTTACCTAAATACCTTTTCACTAGCTATTGCTGAACAGTGGCTTGAGAAGACTGTCTCCTACTGTTCTGATCAAAAATCTGATCCCCCTGTTTTGACCCTGTAGCTCCTGGGTTTTAGTATACAGCAGCCATCTCTGAGATGGTATTTCCAGATATGTGTGAAGTGTGTCTGGCTACAAATTCTGGAATTATAGACCAACTCATTTAGAGGGGAATAGGCTGGGGAAGTTTTTGCTTTTTCATGCTGTTTTATTCAAGAAGCATATGTGGCAATTTGTCATTATCTGTTTGCATTTACAGATATGTATCTGACCCTTTTCTTCATCATATTTATTTTAGTTGTCTCATGCAATCAGCATTATGCAGATACCTAGATGATTGTGTATGGAGGTTAGGTATTATTCATGATTTATACCTTGCTTCTCATTTCCAGGTAAGAGTAAAGAGGCTGAAATTAAACGAATTAACAAGGAGTTGGCTAATATCCGATCCAAATTTAAGGGTGAGTTCTTGCAGTGTATTTTTCTCCTTCTTCCCTTCTTTCTTTTGATATTTTGCAGTACAATCCAGCTTTTTCTCACCACAAATCCCTGCAGCAGTTCTATCAGTGACTCAGTCCAGTTTACTCACTGTCTCCTGTTTTTGTTCTCTCTCTCCCTTGACAACCAGGCTCCTCTCTAGCACGTTTCAGGCTATAATTTTCTATTATACATGTCACTGATGCTTCGTAGAAAGCAACTGTGTGTAGCATGTCTGTGGGACTCAAGGTTGAAATGCTGAAAAGCTAACCTGTTCCAGCTGGAACAATGAAATAAAGTGAAAAATATCTGATTTTAGGTGGTATTGACTGTAATAAACCACAATGATGTCAAAATGGTGACACACATTTTATAATGTGTTATGATTATTTGTGTCATACATCTGACAAAAGTAGCTTGTGGATTTTTTGTAATGACATCATTATATATGTGCCATCATTGGTTTGCCTGTGGGTGCCTGTAATTCTAAATCCTCAAATTGACCTAGGGGTTTCTTGTCTCTTCTCTGCCAAGGAGTTGCTTGTGTCAGTACTTACATAGCACTATAAATTCCTATCTAACAAAACTCAAGAGTTATTTCTCCCAAAAGCCATTTCCATTTAGCCCATTAGATGCAACTCTGTCCCTCCTTGACCTCAATATTAATTTCCATCGATCTGAGACCTTTGCAGCATAATTCATATTGTTATGGAGAGGAACAACTCTTCCTCCACCATTTCCTTGTTCATCATTCCATATAAAATAAGGCACATGCTTCAGCTTCGATTAGCAGGATTTAACAAGTGTCATTTTGTTACCTCTAAGGTCAGGACATTTTTTTTATTATTAAAAAGTTTTAGAAAGTTTTACAAATGTTTTCCCATCCCACCTCCCTCCCCAACCCTTCCCCCCCCCTACTTCCCAGAGCAAAATACAGGGTATAGCATTTAACAATCATATACTAACATGTGCTAACTATCTATAGACTCCTATCTCCCTTTTGTACTTTAACTCCCCTTTTACATGACTAAATTTAAGTACTTTTCTGAAATCTTATTAATTCGTAAGCTATTAGGAACTTTTTAATCCGATATTTGCTTTGAATATAATCAATCCATCTTCTCCATTCCAAAATATATCTTTCATTTGAGTGGTCCTTCAAATATGCTGAAATTTTGGCCATCTCTGCTAAATTTGCTACTTTTAGAGTCCATTCTTCAATAGTAGGCAAGTCTTCCTTCGTCCAATACTGCGCCACCAAAAGTCTTGCTGCGGTTATTAAATTTAAAATCAGATTAGTCTCTATAACCGTACAATCTGTAATTATACCCAGCAGAACAACTGTGGAGTAAACTTTATCTTCTTTTTAAGAATATTTTGCATGATCCACCATATTTTTATCCAAAATGCTTTGATTTTTTTGCATGTCCACCATATATGATAATACGTGGCATCATCACTCTCACATCTCCAACACTTGGGTTGCAAACTGGGATACATACCAGCTAACTTTTTAGGATCTAGATGCCATCTATAAAACATTTTGTAAAAATTTTCTCTCAAATTTTGGGCTTGCGTAAATTTTACATTTCTAACCCATATTTTTTCCCACGTTTCCATCATTATTGGTTCCTCAATATTTTGTGCCCATTTTATCATACAGTCTTTAACTAACTCCATTTCTGAATCTATTTCTATCAATGTATTATACAACCTTTTTATATGCATTTGACTCTGGTCTCTGATTTGTTTTACCAAGTTTTCCTCATTTTGTGTGATACTAATTTTCTGATACTCTTTCCATCTAGCTTATAGCTGTCCGTACTGAAACCAAGTTTGAATTATCCTTTCTTCTTTTAATACATTCAAAGACTTTAACTGTAATGTACCTCTTTCCATATTAAGAAGCTCTTTATATGTAATTACATCTTGCTTTTGTTCTACACTTATATTCTATACACTTATATATCGCATGTCTGGGTACTGCCCATATAGGTATCTTATCGTTTAATTTATATTGATACTTTTTCCAGGCATGCAAAAAAGCATTCCTTAATATATGACTTTTAAAAGTCTTGTCCACCTTCTTGTCATATAATAAGTAGGCATGCCAACCATATCCCTCAATATTCAAAATTCTTTCTTCTGTTAAATTGATCCAATCACTGATTGCTGATAGGGCAGCTGCTTCGTAATATAGTCTTAAATTGGGCATTTTGAGACCTCCTCTTTCACGTATATCTTGCATTTTTAATTTTATTCTCGGTCTTTTCCCTGCCCAAACAAAGTTATTAATACCCTTCTGCCATTTCCCCAAATTTGCATCCTTTTTGAGTATTGGTATCATTTGAAAAAGAAATAAAAACTTAGGCAAAACATTCATTTTTACTACTGCTATTCTTCCCAATAAAAACAGTTGTAATTTTTTCCAGTTGTCCATCTCTTTCTGTATTTTATCCATAACGGTTCATAATTATACTTATATAATTTCACATTTGAAGTTGTAATATAAACCCCTAAGTATTTAACCTTTTTTACTATTTCAAATCCTGTTACTCTTTCTAGTTCTTCTTTTTGATTTATAGTCATATTTTTGTTATTATCTTTATTTACCATGTATTTATTTTGAATCCAGATACTTGACCATATTGATTAATTATATCCATTAAACCTATAGCTGATTGCACTGGTTGGGTTAAAGTTACAACCAAGTCATCTGCAAATGCTCGTAATCTGTAATCATAATGCCTGATTTTAATTCCCTTTATTTTATCTGACATGTATTTTATTCAGCAAAAATTCCAAAGTCAAAATAAACAGTAATGGGGACAAGGGACACCCCTGTCTTGTTCCTTTTTCAATTTTAAAGGTTTCTGTTAAGCTGCCATTAATTATTATTATTATTATTTGTGCTGTTTGTTTCTGGTATATTGCCTTAATAGATTGTGTGAAATACTCTCCAAACTGCATTTTTTATATTATTTTCAGTAAAAAATGCCAATTCAGTTGATTAAATGCTTTCTCCGCATCCAAAAATATAAGCACTGCAGGGACTTGGTTATTCTTCCCCAAATACTCCATTATATTAACAATTTGCCTTACATTGCTTTTCATTTGTCTCCCATTTATAAATCCAGATTGATCATTGTGAATCATTTGTTGCATAACTAACATTAACCTATTTGCTAATATTTTAGCAAAAATCTTATAGTCTGTGTTAAGTAGCGATATAGCCCTGTAGTTTTTTGGCTGACTATGGTCTTGATCCTCCTTTGGGATCAAAGAAATAAAGGCTGTTCTCCAAGATGGGGGTACATCTCCTCCAAATTGTATTTTACTAAATAATTCCTTAAGTGGTTCCACCATTTTTAACTGCAAATTTTTATAATAAACGGCTGTCAATCCATCTGTTCCGGGAGCCTTACCAATTTTTAACTGCTTAATTGCCGAGAAAATTTCCTCAGAAGTTTTCGGTTGATTCAATCTTTCCCTTTGCTCATCTGTAACTATAGGGATATTCTCCTTCTGTAGGTATCTATCTATATATATACCTTGAATTTTATCACTAGCATACAACCTCGTATAAAATTCTAGAAATGGTTATTTAATCATATTTTGTTGATGCACCTCTTTACCTTTATATTCTATTTTCTCTATAGTACGAAACTTTTGTTTTTTCCTTAACAAATATGCTAATCATCTACCTGGTTTGTTCGCATTGCAAAAGGTATTATGTTTAGCATATTGCAAATTAGTTGCAACCTGATCTGCCATCAACATATTAAACTGCCCTCGCAATAAAATAATTGCTTCTTTTATTTTCTTATCTGCTGGATTCAATATTAATGCCTGCTCTTTCTTTTTTATTTCCTCTTCTAATTCTATCCGTTTTTTCCCTGTCTGCGTCTATATGTATTGTTCAAATATATTAAAACACCTCTCATGTATGCTTTGCTTGTATCCCAAACCATTTCTATGGGTGTGCCCTTATGCATATTCATAACAAAAAATTCTTTCATTAATTTTTTACATTCTTTCACATTTTCCTCATATCTAAATAGATTTTCATTTAACCGCCAAGACCTCCTGAGACCCTTTCCATATTTCAATTCCATCCAAACTGGGCTATGATCTGTTAAAATTCTTGGGCATATCTTCGTCTTCACCCTAGAAAGAAAATCATTAGTAATTAATATGAAATCAATTCTAGAAAAGGATTGGTGCCTGTCAGAGAAAAATGTAAAATCTTGTTCTTCAACGTCCCGTTCTCGCCAAATATCTCTCAGTTCCATATCATCCATCATGTCAAAAAAGGATTTAGGCAGTCTAGCACGCGTTTGGATGCTTTGCAAGAGCCCTTTTTTTGTCTTTTTGGGTATCCAATATTCCATTCCAGTCACCCAATAATATACACGATTTATAATCCCATTGTATTAATTTGGTATGCAAAAGCTTATAAATTTTTTCTTGTTGTTGATTAGGTGTATATACTCCAATTAAAAGTATTTTCTTCCCTTCTATTAAAAGTTCAATTGCTATATATCTTCCTTGAGCATCTACTTCAATTAATTTCGCCATTAAGTCTTTAAGTATATAACTATACCATTTTTCTTCTCTGGGGCAGATGCAACAAAGTGTGTTCCCAATCTTGCATTTATCAAATATTTTTGGTCTCTTATTCTGATATGTGTTTCTTGCAAACAAATTACATCATTTTTAAACTGTTTCAGATAATGAAATATTTTCTTCCTCTTTTGCGGTGAGTTTAAGCCATTAACATTCCAAGTTAAGAATCTAGTTGCCATTCTTGGCACCTTGAAGCTTTTGGAGCACCAGCTGAAAATCCTCCTGGATTTTCTTCTTCGGCCTTGCTCCTCCCACTGCTTCTGTATTTGTAGTTTCTTGAATTATTATCTGGGTTTGCTGTGTCTTTAATTCTTGTTCTTTACGTTAGGCTGCCGCTCGGGTTTGTCTTTGATCCTTTGGTTCTTCTATTTTTTCAAGTAATTCCAAAGCTTGAACAGTACCCGAAAGTTGCAGTAAGTCTTCTTGAGTAATCGAGGCCCCTCCTTGAGCTTGTGCCTGCATACCTTCCTTCTCCCCCTTTCTTGCCTCCTCTACTTCTTTTCTTCTTCTAGCTTCTGGGGATGGTGGGCATTCAGCCTTTAGTTCATTGATGTAAAAATCTCTTGCCTTCCAAACTGTAATAAGACGATATCTTTCTCCTGAGTAGTTCACCACTAATCCAGCTGGAGCCTCCCATCTGTACTGCATCTGGCAATTTCTGAGTTCTTCAACTAGAAATGCATAATCCTTTCTAGTTCTCAACATTTTGGGGGGAATTTCTTTCAGTACTAAAACCTCCTGTCCTGCCACTTGGAGTTTATTTTTATAAGAAGCTTGTAAAATTTCATTTCATGTACTCCTCATAGTAAAGTAGATTACAATATCTCTTGGTAGTTGTCTCTGTCTGGCGACCCACGAGTTAACATGATAAATTTTATTTATTTGCCATTCAAACTCTGCCTTTGAATCTCCAGTTAGCTGTGCAAAAGCTTCTGCAAAAATCTCTCTCAAGTTCTCTTGATTATTTTCTCTCAGACCTCTTACTCTCAAGGCAAACTCCATCGCTCTATATTGTATCATTGTGACTTCTGCGTCTGCCTTTTCCATCTTAGTTTGAACCTCGCCCATTTTATTCTCCAAATTCACATTGGACTGATTAATTTCTTCCACCCTTTCCTCCAACAATTCAATATGGCCTGCCAGACCCTGGAGCACCAAAACAATGTCTTCTCTTATTTCTTTATTTTGAATTTGAATTACCTCCTTAATTTCAGCCATTTCCTCAGACACGTCTTTAATTTTTTCCTCAAAAATGGATGTAATTTTTCCTTCTAAAACAGAGGCTTGCACCTTTAAAGCCTCCTGAAGGGCTTCGAGTGTCAGTATTTGTGTATCCACTGGGGCTGGCAAAGACTGCATTTTAGATGATTTGAGTTGGTGATCCCCCAACACTTATAGAAATGCCAATTTTTATTTGCTTTGAGGCCATTTTCTAGTTTTCAAATTGCACTTTTTCAACAGCCAAATCAGTAAGTCCAATAAGTCCAATTAATTCCGAATCCTTAGTAAATATTATGATTTGTTAAAAAATCAATACTGTATTCTTTAGTCTTGAAATCTTAATTCTTTTAACATAAGGTCTATTAATTTTGAACGCTAACAAGCACTTTCCGCTTAACTTTCACTTTTCCACACCCCTCTAACGTTCTGGCGCCATCTTCCTTTCCCTTTTTTTCCCCTTCTTAATGATCTCAGAAGGAAGTAATGCTCAATCGGAGTTAAAGTTTAGTACTTGCAATTATAATCACTCCTGCCTTTGCTCTGCCTGCTTTTGAATCTGATGTTTTTTACAAAGTTGTTTGCAGGGGTGGTTGCAGCGTCTTGTTCTACCTAAAGCAGAAGCGTCCCGGATCCAGAGCTCTGTCGGGCTTCCAGGGAGCTCTCAGCCTTCGAGCCCCAGAATTATTCCTGGGGATCTTGGGGAGCTCTACCTTCGCCTGGCTGCTCACCTTCCCCCCTTTTCCCGAGGGTAAAGTATCCAAACCGCTAGACAGCTGATTTGCGCTGTCCTGGTGGTTTTAACACGATCACGGGGCTGGCGCTCCCAAGGGAATGTCTTCCAATGCCTGCGGTGCCACCAGAAGTCCTAAGGTCAGGACATTAAAACAGGAAACTGGCTTCTTGGAATGCACACTTCAGCTGCTCATGCCAAAGGTCTAGCTCTAGCTAAAGGCAAGAATAAGAGCTCCAAAGGAGAAAGAAGCAACAAGTTCAATTACTTTAGGCAAAATCATCTTATCGAAAGTAGACAGCTGTGCTCTTGAAAACTAGCCCAAAACAAAGAGAGCGAAATGATTGGACATACATACATACATACATATACATACTAATTCAGTCTTCAGATTTTCAAATAACACAATGTCTTTATCCCTCTGTTTGAATCTGCTTGACAAGTTTGGATTCAAACATCCGTATCCATAGATGCTCACAAAAAAAATAAAAGAGATTTTAATTCCTGGTTTATGTAGTCCCTCTCTGCAAAACTACTTCTTCTCTGAAACTGATCATAACTGTGTTGTCGTTATTCTCTTAAAAAAGAGAAAATTTAATAACACATATGAAATGGTTATACCTAAGGAACATTCTGTTGTGGTTGGTAGGCATATAAAAAGCTAAAATTTCGGATTCAAATACACATGTTGATACATAGAATTTTAAAGATTAATATTCAGTAGAAGACAGACCTTTGATTTTTAGGACCAATGAATGCATACTTTAAAAAAACCTTCCTGAGAATCTATTTCAATATATAACATTGCTGCAAGATTATTATATGCATAAATATGAAAAGATTTAACATTTCCCATTGTGGAAGATTGGTTGCTAAAATTCACAAAACTTGCTGAGATAACTAAACTAACTTTTTAATTAGAGAAAGATATTATATTGACATACATCAATGACTGGAAATATCTTATCAACTGTATAAAAAAATGATTTTGTGACTTACAGTTGTGATGATTAAAAAGAACAAGTTGTAGGAAGAAGGGAATTATAATGTAATCTAGAGAAAGATGTTCAATTAAAATTGTATCAATAACTGCCAGGTGTAAAATCAGAAACCACTTCTTTGTATTTTTTTCATGTTTCTCTTCTGTTCTTTTACTATATTTACTATAGGTTTTTTTTCTTTGAATCTGTTTCTTATTATATATAAAAATTCTTTTCATAAGCTTTATTAAAAAAGAAAAGTAATAGTGAATGAAAGGGTGCAAAGAAATAAAGAGAAACAAAAGGGGGGGGGAAGGTTATAAAGAAGCATCTTCTGATCTTGTTAACAGCAATTTCTTTAGGCATAGAAAGCCAAGAACAACATGTGCAAAAGATCAAAGCGGGTTTTTTTATTATTATTTTTATTATTATAAATTTAGACAAAATCTTGCCAAACTAAAGCATAGTTAAATGCCAAGAAGAAATTAGGGGGATCCTACATAGCATGGATTCAAGGCTAATAATTCCCTTTACTCCCCCATCTCTTAATTCAGCATCAGATTCTACCACAGTCACAAGTACATTTATATTTTATCCTCTCTTTTTCTAAGGCTATGATATAATCTACTTCTTTACATAATCTACACCTTCTAAATCATCAAACTCATAAATTATAAGTCCATTTTTTTCTTTTTTCAGTAAAAAGTTTACGAGGGGTTTCCAGTCTCTAATAAATGTGGTTATTGCCCTTTCTCTTATCAGACAAGTTAACTTTTGCCATTTATGCTAATTCTGTCATCTTCACCAGCCATTCCCCCATTGTGGGTATCATTCACTATGTGTCTTTAAATTCAACATTTTCTGGCTTTTTTACAAGTCCATCAGGCAGGATAAATTAACCCTTCATATTTTCCATATTTTCAACACAGATTTGAAGTACTTTCATACATTCTGGATAATTTTTCTGGAGTGTAGAACCAATGCTACATCATAAAAATTACCTTTTAAATCATAACATAATGTAAATCTCAATCCTTTCAGCCACATATTTTCCTATTGTTTCATCAGTATATTATATCCAAAGTTCTTAACCCATTTAGCATCTAAATCATTTCCAAGAAAGAACATCTGGCTGTCATTTTTCTTGGTTGCTTTTGATCCCCAATGCTTCCACTTTTCAGTGTTATGAATGCCAACTTTTCCTGTATGCACAGAAAAAACATTCAGGACAACTGTCAAAATTGCAGGAAAAAAGTACTATTAGACAGTCATAAGAAAACACAAGAATGATTTCTTGCCCCCAAATTCAAATTAAAGTACATTCATTTTTTTCTATTGTAAATCTTTCAATCATTGTTGGAGGTTGAGAGAGTGAAAAATCCAGTTGCTGTCCAAAATTGGTCTGTAGATTGCAGAAGTGTGTTTTATAATACTTTCAAATACTATTATTTTCTCATTGGTGTGTACCCATATGAAGGCATTCACTGATGTCTACAGATAGAAGCAAGCACATTTTTTTTTTCATCAGAATGTAAGTGATTGGAGAAAAATAGAACTCTTTGTTCTTCTCTGCTTCATTGATCAGAGTAGCTGAGAATTGATGGGAAGTGTTTCAAGGCCTTTGCTATCCCCCAATTTGACTTCTGTGGTAAACAGAATTTCTAAACCCATTGGCGGCTCCATTTATGTCATTGAGGTATCTGATGAACTAGAGCTTTCCCTATCTTGGCACTCCAATCTAAAGGTGGAGAATCAGAATAGAATATTATGTGGCTTACACCAGCCTCCTTCAAACTAGGTCTAATCTATCAGGAAATTTGGCCACTTAAAAAGAAAACCAGGAAGATATTACCTGTGACCTTGACTCCTGCTGACAAAATGGCTTTCTGAGTGCTTGTAATAGAAGGTCAGGGTGCTGTTGTAGCTGTCCTTTCCCCTTCAAGTTGCCTTGCAGATGCCTCTCTCCTTCCAGCAGGGCAAGTGACCTTCCTGCCCCACTCCCCACCTATCACTCTCCCCTCTCAGGAGATAAAGCCTTGGATGGTTACAGCAAGAAGAAATATGTCTGCAAGCTGCTTTTCATCTTTCTGTTGGGCCATGACATCGACTTTGGGCACATGGAGGCAGTCAACTTGCTCAGCTCCAACAAATATACAGAAAAACAAATTGTGAGTAAGCCCAATGGTAGTGGGATCTTTAAAAACAAATCCTGGATTTATTTTGATTTTCCATGTGAAAAGTAAATGACACTAGTGTTCCTGATAGATTTCAGTGGAGAGAAAAGGCTCTTAACAATCTGTATTTGGAAGATTCTGATTCTGAATTATATATTATATATAGATTATCTTGTTCACCCTCCAATATTGTTATGCTCAGATTTATTTAATCCCCACAACAAACCTTTCACGTTGAAGAAGAAAGGATAATTGGCACAAGATCAGCCTGGGTTCTACTAAAACTAGTCTGACCTTCTAACTATACATCATGCTAGCTCCAGAAATGTAGTCAAATGGCTGAGTTCATACAGCATGCTATACTTTAAATTGAAGGAAACAAAACATAGTTGCTGCATATACATTTGCCTAAATAAGAAACCATATCATGAATTAATGTGATGGCTTACTTTACATGTACTATGGCAATGCGTTCATCCTGCAAGTTACTGAATGCAAAAAACCAAGTTAAAGCACTCAGATGAACAACTCTTTCTAGCGTCACTTTCTGCCATCCAGAATCAATGTTCCCACCTTGATTGTTATTTTATGTGAACTAGGCCTCAGTGGAGATTTGAGTATTCCATTCTTCTCCTTTTTCAAATAGTGTCACAAGATGCATATTTTTCTTTTTGAATTAGGAGCCATTCTGATAAGATGAGAAGTATTATTATTCCTTAATAAAGCAGTAGCTGAGCTTGTTGAAAGTTGAAAAAAGGATAAAAAATACTCCCCATGTTTTGGAGGAAAATAGTCAGGCAGTTAATGAAAGTGCCAAAGGAAGGGCTTCTGCAAACTTGTGTTCCAGAGGGGAAATCAAAATTAATTGACTTAGCACGCTCTTATCACTTTTGGGCATCTGGCCAACCTTACAACAGCCTTTGTCTGCTGAAAAACAAAGTGATCCTTTGCATGCTGTTAGCCTCACTGAAGCAGGATTATAGGAAATGCAATTGTTCCTAACTACAGTTCCCAGCATTCCTGACCACAGCTATGCTGACTAGGCCTGCTGAGAATTGTGCCTCAAGACTTGGAGGACTATTGATTTTCTATCCCTGTAATAAAGGTACACCTCTGGTTGCCCTACAATGCTTAATTTATCCTTTCTTCTTTCTGTGCCTTTTGTATCTACTCCTCTAGGGCTACCTGTTCATTTCAGTGCTGGTAAACTCCAATAGTGAGCTGATCCGTCTCATCAACAATGCTATCAAGAATGACCTGGCAAGTCGCAATCCCACCTTCATGTGCCTAGCCCTACATTGCATTGCCAATGTTGGCAGCCGTGAGATGGCTGAGGCCTTTGCTTCCGAGATCCCTCGAATCCTGGTGGCTGGGTAAGATAGAGTCAATACAGGAAGGGCTGACTATATGGAGTAAGATGGGTAATTTTCATTATGGCATTTAGGTATATCAGAAGATAATTTATAACAGAATATATTATGTTATTCATCAGCATGGCATTATTTACACCATTCTGATCCAATCCTAATCCCTCCAGTTTCATTGAAGCTAAAATCCCCAGAATTTCCATTGAAAAAGAATAGTGAAAATTCCAAGAATTGTAACCTTGGATATACCCAAAAGGCCTGGGTTTGGGCAGATTTTAGCAATGTTCTGTAATATCTGGAGGTAGGACAACACCAAGTGTCTCTCAATGGAAATGTTTGGGAATTGTGGTTCAGCAATATCTGAAGGGTCTCAATTGCTCATATTTCAAATTGGGGAAGACTACAAGAAGTTCTCTAATACCTCAAGCAACTAATACCTCTCTATTATCAGCTGCTTGATCTTTTTATCTGGTAATGTCAGAGATTGAACCTAAAACTTCCCATTACCAAGATATAATAATTCCTCTAATAAAATATCAACTATCTAACTCATTTGTTTGTTCCTATTACACCTCAGTGATACCATGGACAGTGTGAAGCAGAGTGCTGCTCTCTGCCTCTTGCGCCTCTACAAAACTTCACCTGATTTGGTTCCCATGGGAGAATGGACATCACGTGTGGTGCATCTTCTGAATGACCAGCACATGGTATGTTGTCCCTTTCGAGTTCCATTGTTTGGATATAAAATCATTTGTCACCCTCGCAATAATTTGCATATGGTACATCCTCCCAATTTATTATCATATAGTAGAGTCCCCTCAACATTCAGTTTTTACTCCCTTAAATCCAGGTACCAAGCTATTAAAAGAGGTGTATTCATGCCATATATATGAAACTAAGTGTAACCAATGAAGTTTAATTAATCTTGTTCCTAGGTTTGTGATTTATTGTATTCCAAATATCAAGTTTATTTAATCAATGTACAGTATGGCAAACCATATATTATGGTTACAAAAATGATTTAATTTAATAAGATTAAATTAATAAGAACAGAAGTTATGAGTACTTTTATATTGACCTTCTTCCAACTTGGTACCTTTCAGATGTTTTGGTCATCAGCTGTCATCATTTCTATCCTACCTGGTAGTCTTCACATAATGGTCACAATTGGTCCTGGCAACTCCCTCACTTAGCAATAGGTCACTAAATGAAAAACAAGTGATTCTGCTGGAGTTACTTCACTTCCTTCACAGAAATTAAGCAATTCACCTGTGAGCATTAAGCAAGATATTACATGGCCACAATCTGTGATTTTACTGCCAGTTTCTTCATTGGTTGCTTGTTACAGTTCTTACAGATGTGGTCTCAGTTTTTTCCACCTTTCTCCCTACACCTCCCCACAATACAGGGTGTGGTAACAGCTGCTGTCAGCCTCATTGCTTGCCTCTGCAAAAAAAATCCTGATGACTTCAAGACATGTGTCTCTTTGGCAGTATCCAGGCTCAGCAGGGTGAGTGAAGAAAGGAGAGCCAAGAATCCATTTCTTTGCTTAGTATTATGCATTGCCGTGTTTTGTTTCAACATTTTTTAAACATTTGTGGTAGACCCAACTGGACTTCCTTGTTTTTTTCCTTGAAAATGTTTCACTTATCATCCAAGAAACTTCTTCAGTTCTAACTCGATGGTGGAGAATGGATGGATTTATATTCTTTGCATATTCTTATTAGCACTCTAAAGGTCAGTTGTTAGCTCTCTGAAAGTTGTTGAGGCCACTTGGGTTTTTTAAAAAAAATTTTTATTGAAATTTATTATAGTACAATACAATACAATCAGTCAGACAGTGTTATTTTTCTACACAAGATAGATTGATTCTTCCTTTATGTTTCATCGTTCCAAATTCCTATATGTATCTTAAAATTTGTATTAACTTTTATCCTTTATTGGGTTATCAATCCACCTGTACCAATCATCCCACACTGTATAATATTCTGAGTCTTCTTTCTCGTTTAGTTCTAATGTTAATTTGTTCATTTCGACACATTCTAAAACTTTCTGAATAATATGTTCCTCTGGTGGTGTATCCTTTCCTTTCCAATATTGGGCATATGCTATTCTTGCTGCAGTCAGTATATGTATAATTAAATATCTTCCCCCCCCCCCCCCCCCGTATTTCGTCTTTAGTATTCCCAGGAGAAATGTTTCAGGTATCAATTCAATTTTTTCATTAGTTGATTCTTTGTAGCCAATTTTGAATTCTTCTCCAATACCTCTTTGCTTCGGGACAGGACCACCACATATGAAAGAAGGTACCTTGGTGACATCCACACTTCCAGCATTTGGGGCTTACATTTGGATAAATTTTTGCTAATCTCGCGAGTACTAGGTGCCATCTGTATAACATTTTATATTGGTTTTCTTTGTATGTTGCCACTTTTGTTAATTTATAGTTTCTATTCCAAATCGTTTCCCATTCATCCAAATTTATATTATGTCCAATATTTTTGGCCCACGCTATCATTGGCTCTTTTACTACCTCTTCCGCCCTGTCGAATTCTAATAAATAGTTATATAATCTGGATAGTATTTTTTTTTTCTGGGCCTATCAGTAATTTGTCTAATCTATTTGTTTCCACCTCAAAGCCAAATTCTTCCTTATCTTTTTTGTATCTAGATTGAATCTGCAAGTATGGCCATCAGTCAATATGTATTCCCTGCTCGCCTAGGTATTGATTGCTTTTAAGGTTTCCTTGGTTATCTAGAAGCTCTTTATAGCTAATCATTTTATTGATCTCTAATGCATTTTGGTATATCATGGCTTCCATCGTCGATAGCCAGTTCGGGATTTTCATATATTGTTTTCTTCTAATTTCCTCCCATACTTGTATTAGTACTTCTCTTATCCTGTGTCTATGAAAATACGTTTTGGTCTTTTTCTTTTTATCCCACAAGAAGGCGTGCCACCTGTTTTGTAGGTCGTGCCCTTCCAAAATTAGGATTCTTTTGTTTCTTAGATTAACCCATTCCCTTATCCATACTAGGGTGGCCGCTTTATAGTATACTTACCACGCTGGGAGTCCAAAACCTCCCCTACTTCTGTTGTCTGGTAGCGATCGCAAGTTAATTCTTGGTTTTTTCCTGGCCCAAACGAATTTCCTAATAATTTTGTTAATTTCTGTGAAAAAAATTTTGTCTAAAATGACGGGTATCATTTGGAATAGATATAATAATTTGGGCAGGATATTCATCATAATCAATGCTATCCTGCTCAGAAGTGATAATTGCAATTTCCCCCATTTTTCCAATCCTGTTTTATTTTTTGAACCAGAGGTGTATAGTTATCTTCTTTCAGAGCTGAGCATCTTGCTGATATCCATATCCCTAAATATTTAATTTTTTTTACAATTTGTAGGTCTAATTCCTTTTCTAATTCTTTCTTTTGAGTTTCTGTTAAATTTTTGACCAACATTTTGGTTTTCTCTTTATTCAGTTTAAATCCAGCTACCTCCCCGTACCTTCCTATTTCCTCCAATATTCTCGGGCCCATTTCTAAAGGTTCCTCTATGATGAGTACTATGTCATCCGCAAAAGCCTGTATGTTATACTCCTCTCCCCTAATCTTTAGTCCTTTTATTTCGCTGTTTTTCCTAATTCTATTTAATAAGGTTTCTAGTGTCAAGATGAATAGCAGTGGTGATAATGGGCACCCTTGTCTTATACCTTTCTTAATTTGAAATGTATTCATCATGTCCCCATTTATTATTATTCTTGCCCTTTGTAAGTTATAAATTGTTTCTATCATTTTCTCAAAATTGGTTCCGAATTTCATTATTTTAATTTGTTCGATCATAAATTTCCAATTAAGATTATCAAAAGCTTTTTGGGTGTCGAAAAATACAAGAGCCATTTGTTTCTCCGGGTGGGCTTCATAATATTCGAGAGCATCCACAACTATTCTTATGTTATTCCTTATTTGTCTATCAGGTAAGAAGCCGTTCTGAACCGGGTATAAAATGGAATTTAATATTCTTTTTGCAATTATGTTCATTAAAATTTTATAATCTGTGTTTAAAAGGGAGGTTGGTCTGTAATTTTTAATTTGTTTTCTTCAATCTTTTCTATTAATACATCCTCCTTATTATAAAGCTCTGTGTACTATTCTTGAACAATTTCGATTTTATCCTCTTCTTTATTCTGTAGGTCGTGTCTTCCAGTTGTTGGATGATCCGCCTTTCATATTCTTTCTTTAATTTATAGGCCAACCATCTGCCCGTCTTGTTTGCGTTCTCAAAATAATATTGTTTGGATTGTCTAAGTTTATTTGCCGTTTCCTCCTAGTCTAATATGTTCATTTTATGCCTCAGTATTTTCAATTTCTCTTTAACCACTTTGTCTCCTGGGCTTAGTTGGATTTTTTTTCCATGTTTCCAATTTCTTCCTGAAGGATGTTAAGTGCCTTCCATTTTTCTTTATTTTTATGTGCATTATATGTTATTGTTATCCCTCTTAAGTAAGCTTTCATCGTATCCCATAGATTAATTCAGGATATATGTTGCTTTTCGTTTTCTTTAAAAAATAATCCCAGTTCTCCCATTGTCTTTTCTATATAATCTTCTCTCTTAAAACTTGTAAATTTAGTCTCCATCTCCTGATCTTTCTTTTTGGGATCCTCCATTTTACTTCCAGGGGATTGTGATCTGCTTATTTGTTGGGATTAATTTCTGCTGTTTCTGTTTCCAATCCTAATTCTTTATTTGCCCACAACATATCTATTCTGGACCATGATGTTTGGGGATTTGAGTAGAAAGTATACTTTCTCTCATTTGGGCGTAGGGTCCTCCAAATATCTATTAAATTTAATTCTATCAAATTGAAGAAGGTTTTAGGTAGTTTGTCCCTTTTTTTAAAATTATCTTTGCCGCTCTATAAGAGTCTTTTTCCTCCTCGAAGCTCCGCCACTCCACTATATGGGTTTCCATCACCGTCATTAGACCGACTGGGTGCCAATCAAAATCTTCTCCACAGCTTTGTCCCGTCTACTCCAACTGTGCATGTCCAGTCTTTTCACTCAGTCGCTGGTGATCAGACTGGAGTGCCTATTTCTCTATTGTTTTAACGACTATTTTAGGTCTAAATTCAAAAAATTTTTGCCAATAAAGTCGCCCACTATACAAATATTTCTGTATTCCATTTTACATATCCGTTCATGTAATTTTTTATAATATTCTCCCTGATTTTTTTTAAAATTTTTATTTTTAAACAAAACATAAAACATCCATCATCCATTACAATTATAGAAAGTGTGTCGATCGGTTACAAATCTTTTGTGCTTAATCCCATATCCAAAATTCTCTTATTTGACAATTTATTATATCCCTTTACCAATTATTTAACAGTGGCTTATCTCCCGTAAAAAAACGCTTCATATATTATTACATTCATTTCATGTTTCATATTTCATTTCCATGCTTTATTATCTAGCCATTGATAAAATAAATCCCATATCAAATAATATTGTTTGTCTTCCTGTTCTCTAATTTCAAATGTCAATTTACTCATTTCAGCACATTCCAAAATTTTCTTAATAACTTCATCATCAGTGGGTATCTTCTCTCCTTTCCAATTTTTAGCAAATACAATTCTAGCCGGTGTTAAAACATTCACAATTAAGTATCTCAGTTCTCTATTATATGTTTCTGGTAAAATCCCTAATAAAAATATCTCTGTTTAAAATCAATGTGTTTCTTTGTCATTTTTTCCAACCATGTGTGGATTTTAGTCCAATATCTTTTAGCTTCTGCACATGTCCACCACATATGGTAATATGAACCCGGAGTCTGATGACACTTCCAATACTTCTCCGATTTATTCTTGAACATTCTGGCTATTCTCGCCGGGGGTAAATGCCACCTCTAAAACATCTTATACAAGTTCTCCTTATATGCCATTGACATTGTCATTTTATAGTTCTGAAACCACAGTTTTTGCCATTTCTCTAAATCAATCCCATGACCAAAATTGTTGACCATGTAATCATTGTTTCTTTAACTTGTTCTTCTTCCAGTTTTACTTCTAATAAATAACCATACAATTTTTTAATTACATAGTCATCAGAACCTATTAAAATTTAATCTAAATTCATCAAATTACTATAAAAACCCTCTGTCTTAGAATCTTCATCATATCTAGACTGTATTTGCATATTTGAAAACCAATCCATTTCTATCTCTTGTTGTTCTTGCTTCGATTTAAGTTCACCCTTTTCATTTAATAATTCACAATATCTAACACTTTGTTCCTTTCTAAATGTTATTGAGTATGAGAATGCTTCAATACCAGACTGGAATTTTTAAATAATGATATCTTTTGATCTTCTCCCAGTTTGATAACAAAGACGCTCCTATAATATGTCTTCTAAAATAACCCTGTGTTTTTGTACTCTTATACCATAAGAAAGCATGCCATCCCAACAGCAAGTCATGTCCTTCTAAAGTCAACAATCTAATATTTCTT